AACCACCTCTTATTTAAAACTTGTTAAAATCTATTATCTCATACATTTTATTTTAAGTTCGTGTGTGTTATTGACCATCCACATGGGGGTCGTTCTTCTTATGTTTCTAATGTTGGGTGTATATTATGTCTTATGATGTGTTCTACTCTCGTGGCTGCGTGCGTTGTATCGTTGGATGTGTGTGTCACACATCCAACATTCTACTCTTGTGGCATACAGCCACAAGAGTAGAACACATCATAAGACATAATATACACACATTAGAAACATAAGAAGAACGATCCCCATGTGGATGATCAATAAGACACACGAATTTAAAATATAACACATGAGATAATAGATTTTAACAAGTTTTAAATACATAAATTTTATTATTATATAAGGACGTATACAAATTTAATATTATTTGTAAATGGACATATAAAGGCAAGCAGTGAAATGGTTGACGGATTGATACACCTGAAGATGGCAGCATACTGCCGAAACATGTACTGTAGAAGTGATAAATGAGACTGTATGCACTTGAAGGCTGCTAATAAAAAACACACATTATGAATATGGTAGCGGACATTTGGGTTCCATAAAATTTTGAGTTCTTGAATAACTGCACAACTGGCGGCTTCTCAAGAAGGGCTCAGCTCCATGAGTTAGTTAGTTAGGATATTCTAAACTAACCTGTATCCTCAATGTGATAGGATGATAGGATGACAGGAGACAGAAGAAAAGAACTGGCAAAAATGAAAAATTAAAATCAACTGTTGTTACACAGTCTGACAAAAGAAGGCCATGAAACAGCTACCATCAATAAAACAGGCAAAAAAAAAATTATGATATATAGGTAAAAACTAAAGGCCACCTAAACAACACAAGTGAAGACAACTGTCTGAAAATAGCAAGCCAATGTAAACTTGAAGGGCAAGCAGTAAAGGAAAGCTGCAGGGACACTAAGGCAGGAATAGGAGGAAAGTTACAAAACTACTGAAGGCACACTGGTAACACTTCTGTAACTAGCAATTGTAAATGTGATGAAATTACAGTACTCATAGAACAGGCTGAATACCTCAAGAGAGAGAGAGAGAGAGAGAAAAAGACTGGTCACTGTCCACTATCTATCACATGGCATTCATGCAAAGTGTTAATGCTTGACACTTGGTTTCAACGGCAATCCACAACTGTGCAATATCAGAACCTTCAACTCATGTTTACAAAGCTCTTTTATGTATAGAGCGAAATAACTAAATACACTCAACTCTCGATTATCCAGGATAATGGTGGGGATGGAAATCATGATTAATCGAAAACCCGGTTAAGACAAATTTTATTAAAATTTATTCAACCTCATTTTTATGTCATCTCATGGCCTATTTAATAGATTTTTTACATTACATTGAAGTATGAATTAGTTATTTCAATCACAGTGTTCAACAACATCCAACACTTAACACTTAAAAAATGTAATACCGACGTTTGCTTTTTCGTGGCATTTTTCTCTTTACGGATATCTGTACGAAGCCTACGTAATATTAGCTTGTCACTTAATAAACTGTTCTCTTCACTCTCAAGATAGTCTAGTAAGGATTCCAAATGATTAAGAGCAGCACCATGTGATATTTTCTTACTAGCAGCACTGTCCACCTCTTCCTCATTCTCACTTTCTTCCCGCTCTTCTGGCTACACCCCCACTGAACTTCCAATTTCGTCACTGCTTAACATTTCGAAGCCCGGCTCATACGAGTTTCTGTTGAATACTTAACACAACATGCTTCCTTTTACACCCTGACATTCTGCTAACGCAGTTGAAGATCGATACAAAGATACTAAGTGGGGCGATGTATCTGTCCTTGAAACTTTCCACAAATCCTTGCATTCTTTCACCCCTACCCTAGAACATTGTGTTAGCATAATGGGACCAAAGAATGCAGAGCTCGGTTCATGCTAGTGCGAAAATAGTGTTACAACTCACCACGTGAAACAAAAGTGAATGAATATTAAGCAACATATATGCCTCAGTAGCCCCGGTTAAGCCGCAAACCGGTTAATCCGCCCCCGGATAATCGAGAATTGACTGTAAGTACATTAATTATTTTAATATCCTAGGTGACATGCCTTCTCAGTGAAAAGTAAAGTACAGTATCCCATTTCCATGTCACTGCTCCCCAAAACTTAGCTTGAACTAATATTCCTTCTCCCAGCATTTGGAGACTGAGACAGAGTAACTGGACAGCAGAAGGAAATGTCTTACCTATGAAGAAATTAACTTGCATTTGGTACAAGGACCGACTATCCACCAGCCATATGAAGGCAATCCATCCACTCAGCCAGAGAATTCCATGACATGAAACCTTTCAAACAGATTAAGTGCTATTTAGAATAAGCTTTCCTTGCACAAGTTTCCTGAAAATTCAGAAAATTAGGAAACATGCATCATCTTATTACAGATACACATTAAATGGTAACAAGCATTAATAAAGCAAAGATAGTTTTCTCTTTTATTATGTAGAACAAGCAGGCCATACTCTAAAATGAAAATGGTTTCAATTTTTTCTTTCCATATACGCTCATACTACATACAGATTCTTTCAAAACATATGGAACTTCTTGCAGAATGGATTTTATTTTTATATTAATTTTCATTCCATAAGCTTCAATCTGAACCAAAATTCATAAAACAAATTTCAGAAAGTGTTACATAAATCTATGTATTATTGTTGAAATTTCTTGCTTCAAGCACATAAAGATGGAAACTGGATGCTGTAACACATCTTGTCCAGCCTTCTCAATAGAGTGGGAGAAAGTATGATACAACACTACGCATACTGTCCTATGTGTTATATTTTACATTGTGGTTACAAGTTCTAGTAAGGAAGATGATTTGTCTGTGTTAAGGTTAGGAGCTGCAAACAAAAGAATAATTCAGTAATGGTTTAGAACAGTTACAAAGTTTATAATTAATAGTCTAAGTACTCTACATAAAATCTCAAAACAGAAAATGGTGATCACTGAATTGTGACATTCTTCACTCATCTTTTAGTTTAAAGAATTAATCTGTTTTCAAATATATGCCATACAGAACAGTATTGTGAGCAATATTTCAAATAACAACCCTTAGACAAACAGAACACAATTCATTCACAAATTCAGAATATGAGCTTGGCAATTTCCTATAACTGGAATAGAAACAAAAATAAGAATCTCAAATAACCACGGTTCAATTCCTGAACAAGTAATCAATTTCACTAGCCTCTCAAGCTTCTCATCCCACCTTTGCCAACTGCCTGCATGATCATGAAATCAGCAAGATATACCGTATTTACCCATGTATAGGCCGCACATTTTTTGCCAAAAATTCAAGAGGAAAACTGGGGTGCGGCTTATATTCGAAATATTCGAAATCACACTTCATTTAAAAAAAATATATTCATAATTAGTAATACAGGGTGTTCTACTCCTGAAATAATATTCCAAGAAAATTATTTTTTCTATAATTTCTGTCTCAAAATTGTGCTGCGGCTTATACATGCGTAAATACGGTAATGTACCCTGCCAAGATAGTACTACTGTCCCCATGTCACATGCTTTGTATCATTCTGTGTATTCAGAGATGCCAACCTTTGATAAATGTTGCCACTTACACAGCACCTCTCAATGGGGAAATGGGTCTAATATGGCACATTAATATATCAAGTTAGTGATAAATGCCTGGTTAGGTTACTTTTCTTTTTTTCACATTTCTGTACCTATATTTACAAATGAATATGGCCCAAATAATAAGAACAACATATTCCATGTAAAGCGGGAACATCATGGGGACAGAGTCTTCCTGCGATCATCAGTTATATATTTTGGGGAACAGAAACAAATATCAAATGGTTGGAATACGGTTGCCTCCAATTTGTTACTACTGTGTCCATCTTGCCTATCAGACAGCCATTTCAAGTCCAAGCCTCTAATTCATTTAATTTAATTTATTTATTCACCTTCCATAAACTGAACATTTAGTAACAAGTCTTGAATAATTTAAAGATTACTGTATTACACTGTAATCACATATTATTCTAAGCCTGGTGCTATGACGGATCTATGGAATGTAAATAAATTCTGTTCTGCTCCATTGCAGTTCTATTACAATGACCAAAATATAAATATGGGCATCTTCTAGATATTCTGATAAGCTGAGGAACTCTTTATACATTTCACTTCATAAATATGTAGTGGAACAACCCTGCAATGTGGTGAACATACATTTTGGCTCTAACGTACCTATTCAGATGATGAAAAGGATAACAAAACTTCTAAAAAGAGAGCTGTATTTCACTTAAGTTCACTAGACCTAATGCAAAATGTAATCAAATGAAGCTAATGAAACCCAACTTAACCAAACAAAATTTGCATTATGCAGGATCTGAGGTTCTCAAAGCAGTGATTATGAAGAGTTCTGTATTCCAGGGGTTACTGGAGAAATATAACAATATGTACAATCTGAGTCAACTAATTAAATGCATTTGTACTTTTCTGATTCAGCCATAGATGTGTATTGCTATACAGTGTGACAATGTCAGAACACCATGGGAGCTACAGAGGAATAAGGACGTTAGTCACCATTGTAAAGATACCAATGTTTCAAATAACTTTTACCTCCAGAACTTTATAATGTAATCTTAATGATCGTAATGGAAGAAAACAGTTAGCCCAGTTACAGAATTTGTCTGTAAGGAATACATCTGCAGCCATTATCTTCTGCAAAGCTGCTGGGACTTCACGCTGCTTTCTTTTGTGTGTCTGAAACAAATGCATACTGTTTATATTGTCATAAACTCTGACCAATCACCAAATAATTGAAATTAATCATCATTTGATACCACAATTGCTGCAACTGTTTAATGCAATTATATAACTATCTATTATTATTATTATTATTATTATTATTATTATTACTGGAGGGGGTGGGTTTCCCCATGCACCGTGACCAGTTGATATAACTATCTAAATCACCATTATAAGTTTTACCTCTTCTCATTTACTACACATTACCTAAGCATTACCTAAGGTACCTAAGCATAGACATTTCTTAATCATTCAAATTGTTCCTGCCAGACCTATAGATTAACAGTTATTCACCCTGTTTCGAACCTTAATTTAAAACATTGGTTCCAACTGAACCCAATGCCACCACTGATATTTATCAAGTTTAGTTCTACAGATCAATATATAAATCTGATACTCTACATAACTTGGACTGCCCAAGCACTCTCATACAGCAGTGTCATAAACTGCCATCAATTCACTGCACAGTTAGAAACTCAAGTAACACCATTTCATAATGATGGAAAATAATACATGAATGTATGCTTAAAAGACTCTGGATTTTACACCACTCATTAATGTAAAGTTGTATTGCACATAATACATGAAGAACCATGCAATGAAGACGTATGGGGAAGGGAGGTATAGCTCCTACATTCCTGACCTCAGCACTAGATTGATACGAGTGGTCAGCTTCACGTCTGGATCGCCTTACCCTTGGTTGCCATTGGATAGGAGAAGGCTGAGTGGGGCCCACAACCAGTTGGGAGGCTGTGTAGAAGAGAAAAATCTTGTCCTTACCGGGAATCGAACCTCGGCCGTCCAGCCCGTTCTATATCCACTGAGGAATCCTGAATCCTTAATGACGGTTCTTAAATATATTATTTTAGACACGAAACGTATAAGAAAAGTGTGAAGCCTTTCGAGCTGAATTAATACTTTATACACTTAACTTCATTACCTGACCATGCATGTTGTATTTCTTTCAGTTTACTTTAACCTCTCTAGAAGAACAGTTTAAAATTCATGAAGTTCTTCAGCATAACCTTCGCTTAGCAAACTGACTGTATTTTGCACGTATCAACTACACAATTTTCCCAAAAGTATATTACACCTCTAAACGGTCCTCCTTATCTCATTCGTCCCGGGTCCCGAACGGTCCCGAACGTCCCGAACGCTCTCACCAAGATATGACCTACGATCATGTACTAGATTGTTGGACTAATTCCTACATATCATGAACGATCATGTAGATCATGAATGAAGATCACGTAGATCACGTAGTCGTGACGGGCACGGATCACTAAATAATGGTTTGATCCCTTCGCGATTTCATCTTCAACATCTAGTTTGACACTGTGGTTAGCATGGTTAGTATGCAGAACGAATCGCTGGTAATAATGGCAAGAGCCTGTGATAGTGCGAACAAAACGCGGATCAGTACATTACATATAAACCAAATTAAAATCTTACTAGGATCCTCTACTACCAGACGCATGATTATGAAATCATAATCGATATTTCCACATATCTGAGGTTATTTTATGTCATTTTTCAGTGTCAGGTGGTTAGAATGGATTGATTTAATTCCATTACTGACAAGATACCACGATCCACGGTTCATGTTAATGCTGGCACCACTGCACATTACTATGTATGCTCCACGGAAACCAATACGAATCCAACGAGACAAACATGTTGATACAAATCATGTCATGCTTCTAAATACACTATATGCGAGATGAGGCCCGTTGGTCGAGCACAAGTGCGTTTATATATATTTCGGTGTCAGTTTTTAGGGAAAAGTTTGGAACATTATGCCAGTAAATTTCCCCTCCATATTATTAACCTCAATATGTATATGCAGAAAATATAGGTTCATAATACATTATCTCTTGCAGAATAATACATATATAGCGTACACCTGCTTTGGCCCTGTCATACTAATAGGTCAGGCAGTTAATTGCCAGTTCCTCGCTGTGGGTGCCCAGGTTTAATCTGGGGTAGTGCATGTGACATCGAACAAAATAGCACTGGGACAGCTAGTATACAAGCACATCAGTTTCCCCCCTCCGCAGTCCAATTGTCATTCTGTCAATGCACAATACTCATCAAACATCAGAGGGCTGATACAATAAGACCATTTGAGGCTATGGCACCACTGGATCACTCTTGCTGCTCTTGCCCCACTTCTACAACCATATAGTAGCTGCAGAATGTTATTACACTATGCAAGTGACAGGGATCTGAAACCTTTTTTCTTAAAGTTCCTATGTCACTTTTGTCTTGAGTAACTACATTTAAATTCCATGAAAGGTGCTTAACCAAAAGGACCACAGCCAACAGATTTCACACAGCTTAATCTACAAATAGTGAAAATATTGAATGCTTTATATTATGGTTTTTTGGGCAATGGATGCTATATAGGCTAGCTACTGACAGCATCATAAAATAACTCCCTCCCCCAAATGACATGTAGTCCAGAAGGACCTAAATATGAAGGATATTCTGAAATGTTGGCAGACATATACTACCCAGTGTCATAACCAAGACCACAATATGATTTTTTGACATCATGTAAACCTCAGATCTCAAATAACAGGAAGTTTGTTAAGTACAGGGACACTATAAATGATTCATTCGTTTTTAAAACGCTATATTTTTCAAAGTGTTACACATACATATATGATTGATATATAAAAAGAACCAAACTCACCAAGTTTGTATTGTGTGCACCAGTTGGCCAGCGCCTGGAATTTTGCGTCACAATGCAGGAAGCATTGGAGGATGAAGATTTTGCAGCCAAGTTGATATTCAGCGATTGAGCAACATTCCATTTATCCGGGAAAGTTAATCATCACAATGTGAGAGTGTGGGGCACTGAAAATCCTTGTGCAATTGTAGCACTTAAAAGAGTTTCACCAAAATGGAATGTTTTCTGTGCAATGTCACAGACAAAGCTGTATGGGACGTTTTTCTTTTGTGAGAAAACTGTGACTCGTACATCTTACCTAGATATGTTGCAGTTATGGTTGTTTCCACAACTGGCTGCTGATTCCGGGGATTTTGTCTTCCAACAAGATGGGGCACCCCCTCATTGGAACATCAGTGTTTGTCACTACCTAAAGAATGAACTTCGACATCGCTGGATTGGGCATGTTGGTGAGGATGACATAGCTCTCTTCACTTGGCCCCCCAGATCACCTGATCTAACGCCTTGTGACTTCTTCCTTTGGGGGTACATTAAGGATCATGTTTACATACCCCCACTGCCAAGAACACTAGTAGAGCTGAGGGAAAGCATCGATGCTGCAGTGATGATCATTGACAGGATGATGCTACAAAATGTGTGGAATGAGCTCGACTACCACCTGGACATGTGTCGTGTGACCCAAGGGGCACACATAGAACATTTGTAGAGTGTGAAGAAAATTTGGTGAGTTTACGGTTATTTTTATACATCAATCATATTTGTATGTGTAATGCTTTGGAAAATATAGCGTTTTAAAAACGAATGAATCATTTACAGTAGCCCTGTATTTTGGTAATGGTTTGACAGAAAATTCGGCTTTTACAGCCATTTCAGCATTTATACTACTACTTGTTGGGATAACATCTTCACAGGTTCCTGTTTGACTGGCTTAGTACTCAGTTATGTTTCTGCAGCATATTATTCCAGACAGCAAAATCCAATTGTTTGTACAGTGGTATTATTTCTAGTCACAGATTGAAAACATGTTTGTTCTGATGGTAAATTTATGATCACATTAGCTGCATATTAAAATGTTTACAGGGAACACAGTACTAACTCATCACAAACACTTTGAATGAGCAGTTACAAATAAAGCCAAAAGCTGTCAGAATCTACTGCTATAATTATCCTTACCTTCTGCTGCTGGAAAAGCATAGAACAATTCTTGTACTCATGCATTAATTGCTGTATTGAAACTTATGGGACACCCTAAAATAAAAACAGCTCTCATGCCTGCTGATATATTTTTACGTATCTAGATGTTCATATTTTTTTTTATTGCTAGTGGGGTGGGACTAAGTCCCTTGTACTGCGGCCACTTCTGGCCTATTGTACCAGCCCCAGATGATAGGTGAGGGTGATTGTGGAGCAATTGGTGGACTGGAGATTGGCAGGGGAAACCGAAGTACTCTGAGAAAACCTGCCTCAGTGCCACTTTGTCCACCACAAATCCCATTTGACCAGACCCGGGCCACCGCGGTGGGAAGCCAACAACTATCCGCTACATGTTCATAACTCAGAGAACCTTTATTTAATGGCACGCTGAATTCAGAAGCTTAAACATTACTAAGAGTATCAATATTATCAGAAAATAGCCTTTCTTATAATTATTTACATAATTATAATACTGGTACTGAACTAATGAATAATACTACAAATAATCACCGATTTATAGAAATTTATTTATGTATTTAACAACACAATCCACAATTCAGACTGTTGAGTTTCAAGATTTATAATTCTACACTAATACAGACAGAATATTTGTTCGTTGTGATATTTCAGTCAATGTAGGATAAAATCATTACTTCATTTTTAAAGATGAGTATTTCTATTAAGTATACAGTGAGAAGAAAAATGACAACAGTAAGAAAACACAAGCAGGAAATGTATAAAAACTGTGCCAGATATATACACATAATTATCATTTCTTCATATTTTAAACCATAAGTTACTCTTTTAACAATTCATTATTTTGTCACAATGAAACATTAAATTAGAAACACTATATTTGATTTTGCTACCCTAACTATGATGAAATACAAGAGTTCTGAAACAAAATTTTCAATTATACAGTACAGTTTTCATTTCTATTTTTTATATGAATGTATGACAATTTTATTTTTTACAAAATTGAAATTTACCTAAATTTCAATAAATGGAAACCACATTGGGTGGGTGCACATTTACAATCAGATTAAGGAACTCTTGTTGCCAGATTGGATGAAATAAATATATAATGGAGGTTATATATATATAATATGACTCCATCCTAAGTGCAAACAATATATTATAGGTCTTTCATCTTGTTCTCCTCTGCACTACATGTTTTGGCTGCAAACGGCCATCATCAGGTGTATACACTCATGTAGCTGTTTCACTGCACTTAGTTTAAAATTTAAAAACACAGGTCTTCCCGATTGTTCCTTTCATCGTTATTACCAAAATCTACTTCGTTGATATCTGTCTGGTTTGTCCATTATCTTTGTTACGTACACACGTCAATTCTGATTTCCCTGAATTAGCACTTATAAAATCTTCAGTTCTAATTTTAGAATTCTTTAAAAATTTTTTTGTAAATTTTAAACATATACATATTAGAAATAATAATAGCAATTCTGGGTACTCAAATCACATACTAAATACAGGACATGCATATGGAACAACAACAGAGGTAACGGAAGTTGTAACAATGGGAAAGAAGGGCAGACATTTGAATACATTAGAGAAATACCATATGTATAAAATAAGTAAGAAAGGCCTACACATGAATGACACACACATAGAAACACACAATCCCACATTTCAAACGATACAAGAAATGTATACAGATTAATGGTACCTCCCTCTCCCAACTACCCATTCCCCTCCTACACTCACCAACATAAACCAGAGCACACAATACATCAGACAGCACACGTAGTAAAGATAAGCAGCGGCACGCACACAGGGAGACTACACAGAGTAAGTACAAATAACAGTATAAACACATAAGAAAACATTACGTACATAAGACAGTAACACGAATATTTGTATATTACAGATAACACCTATTACAGTGCTGGAAACAAGAAGTAGCCGCTGCAGCACTATAGACATAGAGCGAGTAACCCTGACAATTTTAAATTTTAAATTTACAGAAAAATTTTAAAGGATTCTAAAATTATAACTGAAGATTTTATAAGTGCTAATTCAGGGAAATCAAAATTGACGTGTGTAAATGACAAAGATAATGTACAAACCAGACAGATATCAACGAAGTAGATTTTGGTAATAACGATGTGAGGAGCAATCGGGAAGACCTGTGTTTTTAAATTTTAAACTAAGTGCAGTGTAACAGCAATGTGAGTGAATACACCTGATGATGGCTGTTTGTGGCCGAAACATGTAGTGCAGAGGAGAACAAGACAAAAGACCTATAATATACTGTTTGCACTTAGGACGGAGTCATATCATATATCGTATAGAGTGCAACAGGATGCTTAAATATAACATATATATATGTGACTCACGAGTGGGGGTTTATCTTTACTTAGGGGGTGAAATGGGGCTATTTGGATGTAATTACAGGTTAGAGTGTCTCATGGCAAACATTCAGTACTTTGAAAGCTGAACTGTTCTTCCCAATTATTCATAATTGACAGATACATCGATAGACATAGAAATAACACAATAATTAATTTAGGCATGATATCATGAACTCTGATTGGTGTTCTCCTGAATTAAACCGAATCTGGAGTGCACACCACTAGACCTTCTCATATCCAGTTGTAAGTACTGTAAATTATAGTAATTTAAAAAAAAAATACCCCGAGCAAAAACATCTTAATCTTATACTATATATATCAGAAAGTAAACATTTATAAACTCAGTGTTAATTATCTATATCCAAATGTTACACGGGGCACGCAGTAACGTAGTTGGTTAAGGCACGATGCCACAAGCTGGAAGGTCATGGGTTCGAATCCCAATGAAGTGGACTTTTTTTCAATTAACATAATCCTTCCAACTGCACTATGGCCCTGGGGTTGACACAGCTTCTGAAAGAAATGAGTACCAGGAATCTTCCAGGGGGGTAAAGGGCAGCTGGCATGTAAAGCTGACAACCTTACTGCTATCTGCGAGCCGATTGTCTAGAGAAAATGTGGGAGCCTTGAGGTCTCACAACCTTATGGGCCTTCACGACCTGTTACAGGGATAGCTTTACCTTCAAAATATAAAGTAAAAAGTAAAGTAAAGATATCCCTGTAACAGGCCGTGGGGGCCCATAAGGTTGTGAGATGTTGAGGTTCCCACATTTTCTAGATAATCGGCTCATGGATGGCAGTAAGGTTGTCAGCCTTATGTGCCAGCCACCCTTTAACCCCAAGAATATTCCTGGTACACATTTCTATTAGACGCTGAGTTGACCCCAGGCCCATAGTGCAGCTGGAAGGATTAGGTACACTGAAAAAATTCACCTCATCGTGATTCGATCCTGTGATCTTCCAGCCTGTAGCATAGAGCCCCAACCAACTAAACTACCACAGCATGCTTTACTTAATTTCTTCATGGGAAACATCAGGCCCGCAAGCCATAATTTTGCCGCCTCTGGTTCATCCACATACCTTACAGATAAAAATATAGAAAAGATTTCTATGAAATCTGTTACTGATGGTCTACAATAAAAATTGCTGGTGAAATTTAATTTTGGCCTATATTAGTGCACAAGCCATGGTAGCTAATTTAGTATAGTAACAAGGCGTTCAATTCTTAATAGGGCAGAGATTTTTTCTACAATATCTACAGTGGTTCTGGGACCCACTCAGTCTCATATACAATGGTACCAGTGATCTTTTCTCAGGGATAAGTCAGCTGAGGCTTGAAGTTGACCACATCCATCCAGTGCTGAGGTTAAGAATGTATGGAGCTACACCTTCAATCTTGCAAATTTTTTTATGGTATACTGCTTAAATAAGTATGGAAACAACTTTAGGTTAATTTTTTACCACATCAGTCAAAAAGTTCTTCACTGTTTTCTAGTACTCCTTCAGTTTTATAATGGTCAAGAGTCAATATAAATACTTTTTTTTTCCAGGAAGTCAAACTTCTCTTCTTAAAAAACTTACAGCAAGAAACTTGTATACAGCATAAAACATACAATATATCTCAATAAGATCCTTCACTGTGAACATTTTTTAATATAGTGCATATGTAAAACAAAATGAAAGTACACGTAAATTGAATCTCTGCTCAGTCTGATTAGCTTTGCAATAGTACATTTATTAGTAAAGTTGTCCCTGAAATTAAAAAAAGCACCATGCCAGTAAGACACGAGAAGATCTCCACCATGAATTCTGAACCTCAGCACTAGATGGAGGTAAGTCAACAGCTTCATGACCTAACTGCTTCACCTCCTGTGAGAGAAGCCATGTGGCAATTGTACAGGAGGCAGGGTGGGCTCCAGAGCCATTCTAGATGCTGTGAAGAAGATAAATATCTCTGATTCTGCCAAGAATCAAAAGATTCAATTGTTGTCAAGCCTGTAGATCAGTTCCAATTTCAAATGAGTGTGTCTGATTCCAAACAACACATTTACATATGCAACAAGTAAACATTAAGCTTAACGAACTGCGCAAAATTGCAAAGAACACATTTAAAATATATGTGTAAATTGCAGTCCCTTATTCATTTTCATTGGAAATTTTACCGTCCCTTAGAGAAAATGTAGAAGTATGCATGTATCTAGCACAAAACAAATGACATGTGATGTGAACTGGCTCAGGCCTGTGGCTATTGAATATCAAAACATCTGGTGACCACACTTACAAAGGCTCCATAAGTTCATGCTGAAACAGTCACAGTGAAACCCCACTTAAGGCTTATTTTGGAGAGCAGTGGATTATAACACTAAACTCAGGCAAATTTAAGAATGAGATTGCTGCCTTGGGATCTCTGAAATTGAACAGAAAATTGGTGTACAACCTTAAACTGAAGAACAATAAATAAATGGGAGTTCCACTGTACACAGGAGATATGATTCAATTCATAGCTTATCAACTGCAGCAAAGGAAATCTTGAAAGGAATGTGGTGTCTTTTATTCCATTTTTTGAGACTTCATAATATTAATATATCTACAAAATAATCCATTACCTCACTTATTTCAATTTTATACATTTTCAAGATATCTGTATCAAAAGTCAGAAATCTGACATACATAATACCACTGAGATCACCTACTTTTACACACAGATAAGATAATCTCATACAATAACTATATGAAGAGAGTAGAGACACCTACAAAATGTATCAGGTACAACATCTGCCAGTCACAATCCATGCAAGTTATGTAGAAAGTAACAATATTATAGCTCACTTACACTTACTGTAATACTATTAACTATTAATACATTTATTGCCAGACATTTTGAATAAAAAACATCAGAGAACTTTGACCAGACTACATGGCATCACATCCCAGAAAACAGTAATTTTCATCGCATCAAACCATTGTCAGAAATTTTTGATTGATAATAAAATTTAGTAATCACTTTACTACACATCACATGACACATTCAAGGATTATCATGATTTATCATCCTATAGTGTCAAAGTCACTAGAACAAAGATGAAATGAGCGAGACATGTACAACACACAATGAAAATAAGAAAAGCGCACACTTCAGTTAAAACAAAATTAAGAGAAGAGATGACTTTAGTGTCCTATGCACAGTTGGCAGGATGATATTAAAATAGATGTTACAATAAACAGGATTTGAAGACACAGAATGGAGTAAAATGATTCAGGATGAGCTATAATGAACATAGTGATGATGCTGTGTTGTAAAAAAGGAGAAAATCATGAGTGTTTGAATAATTATCAAAAGGTCAAAAGAGACTCCATATCAGGGAAACCTGGCCATGAAGATCAACAAAGTTGCGGACCCCTGCATGTGTAGGAACACTCTCACACTTCAGACCAGTGTCTTCAGAATTATAAGAAAGAAGCACAGCAATTTCACAGTTTATGCTCTGCAAGCAGTGCTGGAACTCCTTCTTCATTTACATGCTCTGTAGCAAAATCATCACCTGAGGAATGTGATCAATTCTGAAACCGAACTGGCAGTAAATCTCTTACTCATGTTCTACAGTAATGATAATACATTCATACACAGAATATATAAACTGATTTATAACAAGCACTGTTTTCAAGTTCTTGAAATTGCCACTAACGAATTGTCTGTGACATATGAAGTGGTGTTAACATTAGTTCGAATGCTGCATCTTTTAGATTTGCCCCTCGCAAATTGGCTTCATGCAGATCGCTGCCAGAGAGGTCACAATTCTGAAACAGAACACAGTGTTCTGAGAAACTTCCAGCAATTAAGTGAAAATGCAACAATTCATATCTGATAAATTACAAGAGGACTATGAACAGAATTAAATCATTGTGCTATATAAAGCAAATGAAAAAGACAAATAACTAAAAACTATAACAAAACCCAAAGTGACTGAAAAGAGAACTGTGGGAGAATACAGTAGACAAACAAATGAGGAGAGATATGAAAAGGAGAAAGGGCATGGGAAAAAGTTACTAGTTAAGGTAAAACTGCCCCTCAGCTTAATTAAGCATCAAACCATGAATATATGAGGGAGAGATGCAAGCAATTGAAAGGCTACTAAACACAAATTCAGGGTCACATATTTAGTTACCCCAGTAAAAGCGGTAATGCTTCCACCTCATGACTCATAGTATGCGGGTTCAAATACCCGGCGGAGGTCGTCAAATTTTTAAGGGCGGAAAAATTCAGGGAACAAGTCCTCCGGGAGGGACTTTAAGCCATGGGTCCTGTGTTGTAGCTTTACGACACGTAAAAGAACCTCATGTCTCCAAAGGAGGCCACTGAGCAAAATTACGGACGTTTCCCGCCCAACAGTAGTCTCTAATACCTCTGGTAGATGGGGGAAGCATTATAGATACCACTCAGCTAGTAGAGACCGATCTCGCTGGCTGGGCGGCACTGATGGTAAGCATCAGTACCGGTAGGATATAGAGACTGGTAGAATATCATAGAGGGAAGCACAATGGACCAAGACAGGTCTAAGTGCATGGGGAAACCCACCCTCTCCAATAACTAACTAAATAACTAACTACCCCAGTAAATATATATGGGGTAAACTCCAGAAGAATGGGATTCACCCATGAAAGTCCATCAACTGTGGAAAAAAGGTTTACTAGAAACACACAAATATGATAATAACAAATCTCATAATTCTTTATAAGTTGCAGAAGCTAGGGGGATAAAAGATAAAGAGAACAGAAGGAAGGAAAACGAATGAAACAATGGAAAAACAATGGCCTGATATAGAAAAGAAACATATACCTCCAAATCTGCTCCAGCCAGCACTGCAGCTCGCAGATCACAGTTTTGAAGGTTTGCGTTTTTCAGCGTCGCAACACGAAGATTCACACCAGCCATGTTGCTACCCTCCAAGTTTGCACCTTTCAGATTGACACCTACAACATACCACATAACATTAAATATTTTACAATTCCATTCCTATACAACACTTTTACAAGCGTGTACCTGGACGCTGCCTCGAAGCTTTGATGTGACATACTGTAATTAAAAGTAATTCTAGTTCATTGTACTACATTACTACTATATAACACCAAATGGTGGATGGCTCAGTATGACAAATATCAAAGGATTTGGAAGGAAGTGGTTATGGCGTACTCTGGAATTTGCCTGGAGGGACTGAGAATAGCTGGTACCCTGGCCAAAATTCTAACCGAGCACCCACAAAGAGAAGCACAGAGATCATGGCTGTACCAATCGGTTTGACGTTGCAGCACTTGTCACAATGAGATGCATATACAGATCATTCAACTGATTTATTATGATTACAGCCCTCTGGGATGTGACAACATGTAGTCCAGTACACCACTGTCAATATTTCAGAGGAATCTGCTGCCTCCATCTTCAGGGTAGAAGAGGAAGCCAAAGCATGGGAAAAAGTAACAGGGAAGTGACAGGAACAGGGAAGATGAGGACTGGAGCCACAAACCTTCTTTATGTTTACTTTACAGACACACATAATCATCGGTTGTTTGAGAATAGTGGCTTACTGACCTGCAAAATTTTAGAAATCATAGAAGTGTGAAAATTCATTACTTTTTGCTTTTGTTTTACAAACTGATGTAGTGCCCTATGGAGTTAGAAGAAATGCTACAAATCACAAACATGGATGCAATGTTCTCACTTGCACAACTGTGATGTGGACATTCTACTAACCTTCCATATTAGCTCTACTGCCAGCTGGATCTTCAAAGTTACAGCTTCGGAGGTTGGCACCTTCTAGATTGGCACAAAGCATTTTCACCCCTAAAAGTTGTGCCCCTTCAAGTTGTGCATGTGATAGGTCGGCTCTCTCCATGCAACACCAGCTCAGATTTGCTCCAACCATCCGGCAACCATGGAGACATGCATACTAAAAAGACACATCGACAGTGTTCATATCTAGGTTGTGGTTTACTTAACAATGTTTTCAGCAACTGATACTATATACAAGGTGTGGCAATAAAGAAACCGGATTCATGCTCTAACCCTTTATTAAAAAAAATCAGACAGTCGAAATGTTATCCCCTTCAATGTAGTCCCCTCCCCGATCCCTACACCGCTCCATGCGAATTTTCCACTGTTGGAAGCAGTGCTGCAGGTCATCTTGTGTTATGCTCTTCAAGAGTTGCGTCGCTTTTGCTTTCACTGCATCCACGGACTCGAACCTGGTCCCTTTCAGCGCAGACTTGATTTTTGGGAAGAGAAAAAAGTCGCACGGTGCTAGGTCCGGAGAATACGGTGGATGTTCCATCACTGGAATGTTGTTTTTTGCCAAATACCTCTTCACAGATAGCGCGTTGTGTGCTGGCGCGTTGTCGTGATGAAGAACCCATGAGGCATTCTTCCACATGTCTGGTCTCCTTCGTCGCACACGTTCACGGAGGTACGTCAAAACATTTTTATAATAAACCTGATTGACAGTCTGACCTTCAGGCACCCAATCAATGTAGATTACCCCCCGGATATCGAAAAAAACAATCATCATTGCTTTGAATTTGGACTTGCTCATGCGCGCTTTCTTCTTCCTAGGGGATTTGGGGCTCTTCCAATGCATGGATTGTCGCTTAGTCTCTGGATCATATTGAAGAATCCAAGTTTCGTCACACGTAATTACGTTTTGGAAGAAATCAGGATCATTTTCAATGTTTTCAAGAGTGTCAACACAGCAATTCACTCGATGTTCCTTTTGCTGGGGGGTAAGGATTTTTGGCACCACTTTAGCACACACCTTTTTCATGCCCAGATCGTCGTGCAAAATCTGTCTAACACTTTCCTTATTGATGTTCGTAAGTTCAGAAATTGCTCGAATGCTCAGTCGACGATCTCTTCGAACAATTCTAGCGACCTTCTCCACATTCTCTGGAGTTTTCGCAGTGGGAGGACGGCCCGATTTTGGATCGTTCCCGACGTTTTTCCTACCCTCCATAAACTTCTTAAACCACTCGAAAACTTGCGTGCGAGATAGACACTGATCACCATATACTTCTGTCAACAAATTGTAAGTTTCAGTGGCAGATTTTCCAAGTTTTGTGAGGAATTTGATGTTAGCACGTTGTTCTGCATTAGCACTCAGCATTATTCCGACGGAGCTCAGAAACACGATCCGCTTCTAACAATGGTCGCGGCCAGACTAACCGATGCACGTGAATGAAACTTTGTGTGACGGTAGAGGGAAGTCCAAGGGTCAATGCCCTACCCTCCTCTTCGTCAATGACGTGGCCGGAAATGAGTCATAAAAGTAATCCGGGTTCTTTATTGCCACACCTTGTAGTGTCAAATGCTGGCATGATTAATGAATGATTAATTAGAAAGGATTTGGAAGGAAGTGGTCACAGGCTATTTCAAGGCATCATCTTGACATTTGCTTGGGTGAAAGAGCACATGATTTTATCTGTGACTGTACAGGAACATTTCACAGCTTACTGTAGGTGCAGAGAGACTGTAAAGCTAATTAAGTTCCTGCTGCCATCATAAAATTTGAGGACTGAGCCACAGGAATGCACAGAACTGTGCTTCTAGTGACCAGTCAAGATGGGGAAACAAGTAAGTTTATGCAGTACTTCAAGGAATTATGGTATAACAAAGCTTGTGAACCTATCATATAACCCATTACAGATCACCGCAAAACAATGCATACTGCATATTATAACTTTAAAATAATGCAGCATTTTGAACACAGCATGTGACTTAAGTCACATTCTGAGAATTGAGAGCTAACCTTCAACACCATTAAGTGTTATCACCTAGGAATACGTGATTTTAAATCCCGCAGAACACTGTATTGGCAGCTGGATTTAATTTCATTATCCCTGGAATCCCCTTTCTGGCATGCTTGCAATGGGAAATTTAAAAAACATGTCTCTGCCATATCTATCCATCTGTTCGTATGTCACACCTCAAGAACTGCTTTCATGAAACTGCATTTTGGGAAGTTTTACCAAAATCTCTCATTACATTCTATTTGTAGTTAAAACTGGACAACAATGGAAAGTCTACATGAAGACCAACATGTATTTCTGCTCACATTTTGAATGAAACTCTTACTGATCTTGCTACATTTTTATTAGAGAAAAAAATTGGCTTCAAACAAAAATTGTATAAAAGAGAGACAGACATTTTATGCCCAGCAATCTCTTCTGTATGTCTAATTGTCTTTGAGATAATTATTCAAAGAGGAAAACTGTTACACCAGGTTTACATAAGATATAAAGCATACAAGAATATACTGTCTACATAACAACACTGTATTTTAAAACAAAGAACACACTACTGTATCAAAATTTGTTTTTATTAAGGCTTTTATGAACACAACATATTTCAGACCTTATATCAGGCCATCATCAGGTGTATAGTGTTCAGTTTTAAACTGTTGAACTGCTTCCAATTATCATTCAGTTCACTAAATAAGGATCCTTATTGTGTTTTTTGAACTTAATTCAAATACATAAAATAAGTCTTGCTCAAAATTTTAACTGAATGTATTTAAATAATACAAATTAAAATTATAACCTAAAAAAGTTAAAATTAAAAACCAGATGTTGAAGATTAAGACGATAAAAGTTAACAGTTAAAAATTGTGTATTAATGGTAGGACTCTGTGACCCGCTACGTGCTGACTAATATTTGCCAGTGGAAGCCACTATACAATAGGGCGCCTGTGTAACAGAATCTTCTCTTATGGGATACTTCATAACACAACCTTAATACTGCCTTGAGCTTAAGCTCGTAATTCAGAGGCATGATGGGTACTAAGTTGTTCTATTCTACGAGGGGAATACATGCAAGCTGCTCCCTATAATTGGTCTTGTTGCTATGATGTAGTAGCAATGCCTGGTCAGATGAAACAACACAAACCGAGAACTGGGAAAAAAAGGAAATCTGATGAAGAGTGGTATCACACACAGCAAACTACATCTTGTTTATTTTTATCCTACCTTAAAGTTAATGTAGCGTAGATCCAATCGTGAGAGGTCTGAGCCTGCAAGATTGACTCCTTGAAACCTCAGTTCTGCAGTGTATGGCGTTAAAATAAGAGCGTTCACTACATCTCGTCTGGTTAGAGGTACATTGTCACGGGACCGCTGACTGCTCTGAATTAGTGATTCCAACTGTGGAACCAAAGACTCAATTCCAAAAAATCTTGCCTCTTCCAGGACTCCTGAAATAATGTACAGATGTGACTTTTTTATTCTCAAAGTGGTAAGTACTAAGATTATGGTCTTCTAGAATGTGACACCATGTAGAGTGATACACAGGTGTCAGAGAAACATGTTAGATGAGAACTTATCCTTCTATCCTGAAGATAGAAATAGTAGGTTCCTCCTGAACACAGGTACCTATGTACCAAACTATGCAGTGTTACATGTCAGAAGACACTGATTTTAATGAGTGGGTAGATGTAAGAAAATTTAAAAAACAGTGCAAAGACTGCAAAATTTTTCTCATGTATGGCTGACCTTGACTATGAAACCTTGGAAATGAAACTGACTGTTGGTTACTGAATACCACACATCAGTGCTATCCCTTGGATCAGTAATGCTAGTTCTCACATAAATCACTGAAATTTAATACAAATTGTTACAGTCTGTTTTGAGAAAATTCTCAGTTTGTTAGCAGAAATGTCTGAAGTTGCAGCAACACTAATGACAATTAATAAAGACAGAAATGTTACATGATGATAGATCTTCGAAAAATATGTAACTTTTGTTACCATGTTACATCTATAACACGGTGGTAATATTTAGCTTTCAGTTTACTGACGATATCGAACGAAATGCTGGTGCTAGTACATGAAATTTTGTGCCCAGACACATCAGGCACATATAAATTTGGAATACGCTGCATATTAAGTTGTTCAATGAGTATTACTAAGAAACCAGAAATGGAGTACAATTGCAGGTGTGAAACAAGAAACAACATTAAGATTATAGTCTCCTGGGATATGACCAAGTTTACTTCCGCATACTCCCCATGCCAGAGGAATCTGCCACTTCCATTTCCTGGGTAGATGAAGTGAGGTCATGGTGTCATCAAGCAGACTGGTGTGGCAGCAACACCACAGACTAGTATTCAGGAGGCCACTGATTCAATTCTTGGCTGGAGAAGGGGTTTTGTGGCTTTCCCCAGTCTCTCCTTAAAAATTCTGAGTTGGTACCTCTATTATGCTATGACAACTTCTTTCCAATTAATCATTCACCAATCAAAGTACTGTTTGCCACTATACAGTCAATAACAATGACAATGCTGTAAAATAGCCTACACAGTACATACATGGCATCAAATGCCAGAAGACCAAAATTAATCCTCACCACTGTGAGAACCTACAGTCTCATAATGTTATAGTATTAATAACAATCAAAATCACTTTTGTATTGATCTTGTTATAGTTTGAATGTTGGCGCCTTATATCTCCATATTGTTTAGAGGGTGCTCTTTTCCATTCTCTTGTTCCGCCAGTCTTCCACAAAGAAGGGTGTGGTGAATTAGCGATTTCAGTGAGAGTCTGATGCTGCTTGAGAGTTTGTGTGTTCAACCTTCTTGTGATAAGTTCTTTGTGATTTTCTCTATAATTATTACTGTGATTAAACTGGTAAATTGAACTGACAATGTTATTTATTTATACTGCTTCCATCGTCTCAACACATAACAAACCTTCATGAATAATGTAAAGATTACTCTATCAGCAGTACATAACCTACCTTCAGGATTAACATTGTTATCAAAAATTAGCTGTCCATTTCGGAGGTAATTCAAAATAGGTTCAAAATATGTAGGACTGCGATCGATAAGGTAGGCTCCATTTTTATCGACATTACTTGGTGTCATTATGTAGCCATTATCTCCTTCCGCAAACATTCTGTCACGAGAAATAAAACAAAATCATTTTGTAGGACTAATGATAAACACTTGCACAACACTGTATGCACTTTCCTTTACTTCCACACATTGTGTTACATAAAGAAAAGCTGCAGTATGCTTAATTAAGCACCATGTCATGAAGACACATGGGAGAGTGAAGGTACAGCTCCATGCATTCTTAACCTAGGCACCACATGGCCATGAGTGCTCGGCTTCATGCACTAGCCATGTTATTCTCGGCAAAAGGGTCCCCAGTTCACATATGGATGACAGATGGGCCCAAAACCCCATCAACATGCTGTAAAGAAGAGAAATATCTCTTGCCCTTGTCAGGAATTTATTCCTGAATTATCTAGCCTGTAGCCAGTCACTATATCAACTGAGCTACCCTGGCTCCCTATGCATTTGTGTACATACATAGTCTTGATAGTTTGTGATGAAATTAACCTGAAAGTATACCTTCCTGTAGCTAACACAAAACACTCAATTAATGAAATGTTCTACCAAATATGCTTCAGGCTTATTTCACTGTAGTCAGAATGAATATTTTTTGTGGGTTATTTAATGATGCTTTCAGTACTGAGACCATACTGCATCAGGTGGTAGGATGAACGCCGAATTTAAAACAATGTGGAAGGAACTGGCCTTGGCCTAATCAAGGTGCTTGGTGGGACTGAGGAAAACCAAGAGAAACTTCAGTCAAGATAGTGTCATGGTCAAGAAGCAAAATGGGCTCCTCCCAAATACAGTCTACAGTTTTATTGTTTGACCAGCCTGTTTAGCATAGTAACAATCAAGATAAAAGCATAACTAATTATGAGTATAATAATCATATTTGTTATATGGAGAAAGGTTAAAGGTAAAGTAGTCCTTGAAGATGTAGGAGAGAGTGGAGGTACAACTCCACCACTCCAATGCAGAAAAACCAGAAATATATGGTCTATTTAATGATGATGCCAGAATCTTTGACTATATGGTGTAGAATGGTTGAATTACAAGTGAACTGTGGATTGGAAAGGATATGGATTGATGTGGTAGTGGCTCTATTTAGGGTAGTATCAAGACAATCGCCTGGAAGGTACGAAGAAAACTGCCAATAACCACTGTCAGGATATTCAGTGACTCTGCCAAGCTCAGAACTGAGTCAGATGCATTACTGCTGAAGCCAATTTGACCAGTGAAAAACCAGAAAGAATGTCTTGCAGCTGTCCGCCGACTTACAGTTGCCACGACTTTCGTTCGAGCTTGAGTTCTTAATCCCAGGATACGGGTGCTTTGGAGATGGGAGTGGAACACACTTCGGGGTAAATAAATCAGGGATCTCCAGAACGTTGTGGATTGCAGTTTTAATTTAAAATTTCATTAATGATGAATATTGACATTATTCTCCAAGCTAGCCGCTCCGTCCATCGACTAGCTACCACTACTCTTAAACACTTCTCTCATATCTCACTTCCAACTACTGTCCTCCTCCGCTCCCTATAACCGACCCCCATCTTTACAAGTCCCCCAGTTGGCATCAGAAAAACAAGAAAATAACAAGAGAAAACAAAGGGTCGAGCCCGACATCTGGCCAACATTCGTATTTTTCGAGATGCCCATAAACCTCTGTAGGTCTTCAAGTAATCCAAGACCCCTCCTGGCTGGTCTCGCACACGGTCAGTTCATGGGTTTATGATATACTGGGAGTAAACAGGCGGCGTTAGGGACAATAGCGGCACCCTTAGCCTAAGGAGGACAATAGCTGAATTACAACTAGAAGGTCCCGGGATGGTATCTCGCTGATGGAGCGTCTCTCACGGTATTAAACAATACATAAGTAGTTCACACCCTTAATTATATAATTTTGACGAGGGAAGTACGGTTACAGTCTGCATTTGCTTACGTGCAAGTGGAGTATGTAATCCCAGTCCATCCTAGTATTTAATAATTGAATAGCATTAACAATAAGAAAAACTGATGATTTACTAACCTAGCTAACATACTCATTGGTTCCTTGGTCATCAAGGTACTTCTTGAAGTTGTAAAATATTTGCCACCAACATTCAAAGTAACCCATTCTGAATTTAACTTTGAACATAAAGAAACACTGCGGTCACCAGATGTCACCGATGATGGAGAATGGCTGTTGATACATGGAGCACTTCTTACTGATGATCTTACAGGAATGAAATTCTCACTTTCTGCGACGTACAAAATGTCATCATCCCTGTGGAACAACGATTTACTTTGTGTACTGAAATAAAGGGCACTAAGGAAAAAAACACAGAATTGTGGGGAAATCCTGTGGATAGCCACCTGGAAGAAGCAGTCCATTATTTTATGACATTTTTTCAACTACACTGGTTTTGTGTCAAATTTGCTTGGTTAAATTTGACTGCAGAAGTGGGAAATATGTTCCAATACCAGCATCCAAATTTTAAGTTAGTTTAGTTTCCTATGTTTTGGTTTTTGGTTTAGATGGGAGTCTCATTTTGCTTTTTGCTTTTTTTATATATTTTATTTTCATTTGTGTTTGGTTTCTTGTTTCATTTGCTCCAGTCCAGCTTCTTGTTTGGCCTTTCACTTTTGACTTTGGTTTGGTTGTCCATTTTAATTTGATTTCACTTGCTTTGGCATGGCTAGGTTTCCTTTTAAGAATATTTATTTGCACATTTCTGTACAATGATCACAAAGTGTACTGGTTGACAGATTGAAGTACATGGGCCAGTGCTAATATTACAGTTATACATGTTTTCACAGATTAATTAAAGTTCTTTACCGATTCTCAAGAATTAGATATGCTTGCAAGTAAATATGAGTGTCCAAAATAATAAGAGGAAATGGAAAGGAACTAAAGCAATGGATTTTTGTGAGAAAATGAGTAACATAGTTTATTTACATTCTTAGTTTCATGCTCTCTATCATGTTTACTTCATATGAGAAGAACTCAGCAATTGTGATACTCACAAGGACCTACAGAACATAAATAAATTATATTTCAATCTGTTAATCCTTTTGGGTTTCATGCTATCATATCTCTCCACATTCTCAAAGTGCACTGACTGTTCACCTCGTGTTTCCGGTTCTCTAACATACATATCTACTAACACTGATTCTTATATCAGTACTCACATTACAAATTCTCCACAAATAAGAATGTAAAAAATTGTAACTTGTAATTTTAATCTACTTATATATAAAATTGTTAATATTCAGAATTAACTTGACTTGTCATATATCATGTACAATGATCTACAGTGACGAAATAAATCAATCAATCAATCAAAAATGGAAACATACATGGGGTTTGCCTTGGAGTTCTAGATGCATCGGGATATTCCAGATGCATACTGTGAATTTTTACCACATTAAATAAAAGTGTATAGTCAACATAAAACTCACCGAATTAATTTCAAATCATCAATCTCACCACCCTGAACTGTGAATAATCGTTTTGCCACAATTCCAAACTTGGCACTGGCTGATGATAACAACTCTTCAAGAGAATGAGTAACGAGTATAACCTTGAAATAAAATGTAATACAATTCAGTTAAGCTTCAGAGCCTAGACAGACAAACAATCAGCTCAATACAAGTTAAGTTTACTTCGAGCAGAATGAAAGTTTGCCTACCTTCCCATCAACTTCTGTTCCGTTTCTGAAGAGTATGACTCTCTTCATAATTCTAACAGAGAACTATTTTAAATGTCAGTTACAAAAGGGAGAAAACTCAATTTCTTCTCAAGATAATCCCAACTCCACTCTCTATTGTATTTCTTCAGTTTTTCCGACACCACTACCTTTAGTCTTTAGGCTCCTCGCACCTCAAAATTACAACTACATACAACTGTCAAATGTCACGCATTGAACTTCATTACGTCTTCTGCGATGGCACCACAAGGAGCACCGGGAAATTTGAACACCGTTTTCAAAAAATGAAATGGTTCTCAATACTGGACGAAAAATTATAGCTAGCATTGCTTCACTGCTTGCTATCGGGATATTTAGTAACACTTTCATTGTTATGAGTATTTCTGTTGTCCACGAAATTTTCCAGATTCATACAAATCACGAAACTTATAGGTAACACCATTTTATTTTCGCGAAAAAATGTGCCTATTAAGGCAGCACCAAATTCCCTATTTGTCTAATTGCCACGGGTACCGTGTAGTTACATTGCGAACAGTATACTCGTATTATTAATTTTATTTTAAATATATCAAAATTATTACATTCTTGTAACCAGCTTAGCTGAAAAACAAGGCGTCCGGAATGGTTGACAGTGTTATCTGCTGTGATGTGACACCACGCAATCTGGCAGAGGTTCACCAACGTTTTGGAGAAATATCCTGCCTCCTTCTTCAGGTTTGCCGTATATTTGTTTCTGATTACCTGCTTGGCTTACTCTTCAAACGCGAAGATTGGTGAAGATGGAATGAGATGGAGGGACTACATTCCTCGTAAATGGCGGGAATCTACCGAACGACGTGGGGCAACATCTCAGAGGACGGTATCACAGTTCACAAGGAATTCAAAATTACCGTTATGAGCGCTTATGAGAACCACAATTGAAATTTATACGTCATACTCGGTCATACGAGTACTTGTTAAATTACCGTAGAAGATGCATGCCGTTAATGAACTACAAACTTTGTAGATATTTTAGCATCAATGACTCGATGACGTTTTCTTATCTTGGTAGCCATATTGAACATATCAGCTGTTCGACGTTAGAATTTGAAGGATTTACATTAAATGGCTTAATCCGTGATCATCCAAATTACTACAATATATTAGTTATTATCAGATACGTAATTTGATTCATTTTATAAGTTTAAATATGTGGAAAGTGAGAGAAATTGCCGATAAAGTGTGAGTGTTGGTTTATTATGGTTGTCATTATTTTTGTGCAGTTCGAAACTGCTTTCATTGCTTTGCCTTTTCAGTTTTGTGTTAAGACATTGGTCGCCATCGTTTAATAATAATTAAATAAAAAATAATTTTACCTTAATTGTCCTACGGCAGTTTTATTTTCTGTACTTGTTTTCCCATAACCTTGGTTGGTTTTTGTTTTGTCTAGCACCAATGTTGTGATGAACTACACTGAAATAGAAGCCAAAGTCAGAGAAGCAACTAATGATGATAGCTGGGGCCCTACAGGTACACCACATGTTTTAGAAGTATGTGTAAAATGGTCATCTTAGAATGCACATGAAGATGTGAATGCCATTACTTATTTTGATTGTTTATGTGCAGGAGCACTTATGCAGGAGGTTGCACAAGGCACTTTCACATACGAACATTTTCCTGAAGTTATGACAATGCTTTGGAAGAGAATGTTGCAGGACAATAAGAAGAACTGGAGGCGGACTTACAAGGTAGTAATGATTGTTGTGAATGTGTACACAATTCCCTGTGGAACTCCGCAGGTTTGAGTTGTGAAATGTAAGATATTGTGCTAGTAGAAATATTTAGTTTACTTTGGTTTATTAAGTTGTGTTTGTAATTCTGTATGACTCTAACACATGAAACCAAGTTGTTTAGGTTTAGGCCCATTCTTTTCGATTCTGTGTTACATACAATAAATCAGTTTCCAACACATTTATTTTTCTTGCACATTCCATTCTCACTCACTCCTATGAAATTACTATTTTCTATCTCATTTTGTCTCAGACAGACAATATGAAATAACAATATGATCACATGAAAACGGTATTTAGTTGTTTTTTGCGTAGATGTAACACAGTGGGTACCCTTTCTGTACAAGGGGGTATAGTGGCCAGCTCATGAAGCTGACCACTCATCTCCATCTAGTGTCAAGGTTGATAATGCATAAATGAATATCCCTACTCCATCTTCATGGTATGATGCTTAATTAATTAAGCACAAGGGTTAGCTTTCTGAATCCATATGTATGTATGCATGTCTTTATTTTGTCTCTCTAGATCATTGTTACATGATATAGGACAAGTCATAGAACAAAGGATGTGTTGAGGTAAGCATAAGCATACTTATTAATTTTATACCTGTTGTTTGTGTGCATATTGAATGTATATTTAGTGATGGATTAGAAGTTGAGGTTATATCTTGTCAGTTTTCAGGCAGTGAGACTTTGCTAATAGAAATGGACTAGCAGCTTCTAAGTTTTAATTTATGATTTCTGCTAACCTTTCAGAATGATAAATAATTCATGAAGGAAAGTGGGTATTGCAAGTTATTTGCAGAACTTTATGGTACAAATGATTGTCATTAAAATTTTAAAAGTATGTAGCTTTTCTTTAAAAGAAATTCCTGTTTAAGTACAGGATATGCATTTTGAAATGTTTGGTTGACTGATGCCTTTTTGTCACACTTCATTTTATGTCTTGAATGAATGAATGAATGAATGAATGAATGTATAAGGGTTGGGCCTTCTTGGCCCTTGCACCACAACCTACAGTGATCTATTGTGCTTCCCCTTTTGATTATCCCCTCAGCAACCCTGCGCTTCAAATGAAGCGTAGGATTTTGTACATGGGGGTATTGAAATAGTCACTTGGTTCCATAAAGTATTGACCCAAGTGATGTAATCTTAAATAAGCTAAGCCTCACATTCACACAGGATATGTGTGGCTGTTTCATTTTCTTCTTGACACCTCTCACAAGTGGGACTGTCACTTAGTCCCAGTTTGAAGAGGTGTCCTTTAAGGTGACAGTGTCCTGTAAGTAGTCCCACCACCCCTTTTTTGCCTTTGTTGGCCGGTGGAGGATCTGATTTCAGTCTCTATTGTAATGGAAACTTTTATATTCCTCTGTTTTAGTCACTGTTACTACTCAATTACTTGGTGCGCAATGGTTCTGAGCGTGTTGTGACATCTGCGAGGGAACACATCTATGATCTTCGTAGTCTTGAGAATTACACGTATGTTGATGAATATGGGAAGGATCTAGGAATAAATGTAAGGTAAGCATATAATATAATGTAAAGACAATATCGCTTAAATTATTGAATAGTCGGCAGTCACATCACAGAATCTGAACCTGGCACATTTGTTCCACTGAAAGCACGCCCCAGAATATCGGTGTCGAGTGGGCAGCACTCCTTTGTATTCTGTAGTTCTGGGCTTGAATCTCAGTCAGAACCATGTCTATCTTGACTGGAGATTTTCTTGGTGTTCATCTGTCCCTGCAAGCAACTTTTAGGATGACATGACAAATTAGGCTGTAACCACTTCCTTCTTCACATTTTCCAGTTTTTTATTCACTAATCATCCCATCATTTTATGGTGTACAAACTGAGGTACCGACAAGTTTCCATTGCTATAGTATATTTCCCTTCTGGCAAGAGCTTGCCTGTATGAGATGTTACTTCAGTTTACCATAGTTTACTTTTCTTATTATTTTATGTGCGAGAATATGTACGGAATGCCCTTATACACAGAGGGGTCAGAAAAAATGTACTGTCTCTTTGATAGTCAATATCTTTGGAACAAATTGACATGTAGTTACTTCTTGCGCGGACAGAGAGAGAGAGAGTCATTGTATGTGTTTGAAGTGACCACCATCTGCGGCTAAACAACGTCAATGCCGCTGAACTGCTGAGCGAACTACGGCTGTCATTGTGTCTGTTGTGATGGCTGCACATGGCTTCGATGGTTTCTTGTAGCGTGTTCAGTGTCGATAAACTTCATCCTTCAAGGTTCCCATAGGTAGAAGTTGAGAGGTGTTAGGCCTGGAGACCATGGTGTATACTCAATAGCACCTCTTCAACCTATCAATCGTCCAGGTAGAGTGTCATCCAAGTACCCCCTGACATCTCTATGTTAGTGAGGTGGAGCACCATCTTGTTGTAGGTAAAATCTATCATCTCCCAACAGCTCTTCGGATGGCAGGGAAAAATTGATGACTGAAGCATATCGGGATACACCTGACCAGTTACAGTACCTTCAAAGAAGAAAGGACCAATCAAACCACGCGATGACAGACCACACCACACATTAGCACCCGGTAGATTCACTTCCTTGCCCACGTGAACGTGTGGATTTATAGGAGCCCAATACACACAATTGTGGCAGTTAACAGTACTGTTCATTTTGAATTGCTCCTTGTCAGACCAGATAACTTTCCCTGCAAACTCCGCATCCTTGTGAACCATGCCTTCAAACCACTCGCAGTATTCAAGCCTTCGATACAGGTCATCCTCGTTCATAGCGTGCAGCAGTCTTGGAATGTACACTTTCCACTTTGCAGCCTTCATAATTTACCTTACACTTGATCGGCTTACCCCAATTTCACATGCACACTAATTCACAGATTTTTGTGGTGATCGTGTGAAGTGTTGCAACACCACAGCACTGGAAGCTAGACATGTTACTATCCATGGTCGCCCAGATCTTTGCTTATGCACATCATAAACAGTACCGTCGGCTTCAAATTTATCCCAAATATGGACAATTGTTCGACGTGTTGGTGGCCGAGTTCCAAACTCATTCTGCCATTGTTGTACCTCCTAAATGTTTTCGTACTTCCAGTACCACTTCAATACAGTCATGCATTGCTCAAAGAACAACCTTTCAGCCATTGTTGCTGCTGTCTTCTGCCCGCACCGCGCACACGGCACAACACTCACATGACTCATGTGATCTTCGCCATCTGTTGAGAAAACATTACACTACACTACCGCGTAAGAATTGTAACTACATGTCATTTTGTTCCAAAGATATTGACTATCAAAGAGAGTACATTTTTTTGGACCCCCTGTATTATGGAGGGGATGTGTTCTTATCATGAATTTCTGTAATGCAGACCCGGTTTTTTTATCTTGTTACTCCTGTGTTGTTATTTGAGGTGTGTTCCTATGGAAATTTTTTCTTGTAAATTTGTAATAAAAAACGTTTCTTTTCCCATCACAAATAACAGTAGGTATGTAAAGAAAAATTTAAAGAGCCATTTGAACTTGATGGCACTTGTTAGACACCATTAGTAAAGGCAATACACTGCAAAATCTGAGCTGGGAATGGCAGCCATCTTGCTTGTGTCACTGGCATATGGGCATAGGCTGGGCAGTAATGAGATCACCAATGCATGTGCATAAGCAAGTTGAATTTCTTATGAACTGTTCATTTGTTAAAAGGAAATTCTGCCAGCTGAACTTGTTATTGTTTTGAATTTTCTGATACCAAAAGATGTTAACAGTTCATATGTCTGTAGGGATGATTTAAGGTCTGTATTATGTATTTCTGTTCATGTTTTATCGTTTCCATAATGGCAAAGTTCTGACTGTATATGTGAGTGTATCCCAGGTTGAGAAACTGGGGTGATGATTTCAGTGTTTTGATAGTTTCATTGCCATAGTTTCTTCCGCAATAAATTTGTGCAGTGATCCTGCCTTCTGTGTTTCAGACATAAAGTTCATGAATTGATAGACTTCATTCAAGACGATGATAAGCTTAGAGAAGAACGGAAGAAAGCAAAGAAGAATAAGGATAAATATGTGGGGATGTCAAGTGATGCAATGGGCATGAGGTTTGGTAAGACCCAGTGTATTTATGCTGTATCATTTGAAAAAACAAGTCTGGAAGGTAATTTTGAAAGTGTCGGGTGTAAGGTGCTCACAGCAGTGTGAATATCAAGTTAATGTTTGTCTGGGATGTAGTAGGGTGTGTAGTTTCAAGAATTTTGAACGTGGTAGTACTGGAATCTACAGTGTGTCCACAAAGTCCTGTCGGGATTTTGAAAAATTGTGGCTTGCAAAGAAATTGAACTAGCCATGTGTGAGTTGTGGCAGATCATAGTGAAACTCTGGAAGTATTTTACTGACCTCAGTAGACCACAATGTGTGCTCCCTTGGTAGCACGGAGAACGTCCAGACGATATTCAAGCTCTTGTCATGTTCTGTGGAGCATGTCCGTTGGAGTAGCCGAGATCGCATTCCTGATACGGGTCTTCAGGTCTTCAAGTCAGTTAACTGGTGTTCGGAACACACTGGTCTTGACATAACCCCACAGGACATTTCCAGGAAGATGGATTGGCAGAGACATTTCAATGCCTTGGCCTCCATGTTCACCAGACATAACACCACTGGATTTTTTCCTGTGGTATGTCAAGAGCAGTGTGTTCCGAACACTAGTTAATGGACTTGCTGGCCTAAAGACCTGTATCAGGAATACGATCTCTGCTGTTCCAGTGGACATGCTCCACAGAACATGGCAGTAGTTCGAATATTGTCTGGACGTTCTCCATGCTACCAAGGAAGCCCACATCAAGGTCTGCTGATGTCAGTAAAAAACTTCTAGAATGTCACTATGATCTGCCGCAAACCATATGTGACTAACTCAATTTGTTTGCACGCCACAATTTTTGGAAACCCTGATGGGACTTTGTGGATACACTGTATATCCAGTAATGTAACGGTGTGTAATCTTAGTGCTGGATGCACCATAGTTGTGTATAATGTGCTTTGTTCAGTATTTTTTAAAATATTTTTCTTAATATTAGTTTTATTGTTGTTTGATTATGTGTTTAGTAATGTTACTTGCATACAGGTGGCAGTAGTGGATGGGATGACACTCCTCGTTGGAAGAAGGATGAATTTGGTGATTGGGATCCGGATAAGGGGGGAGGAATGTCTCGTGGAATTGGCAGGCATGGAAGTAGGAGTTTTGATGACATGGGAAACAACAGGTAATTGATTTTGCTTTTAACCTTTAACGTATGGACTTTTAAATTGCCGACAGCTCCCTACGGCTGGAATTTAAATGGCCCTAAGTCTTTAACATTGCAAACCTTCAGAAAAAAATGCATATTTTCCGTTCTATGCAACATCGGAATATGAACTAAAAAGAACCTGAAAGACAATAAAATTTTCTACATATACACAAAAGGGCACAAAAATTAACTGTGATTATTTTGTCATGAAATGCAAAATATAATTGTTATTATATACGTTATGAAATTCTAAAGGACTTACCGTTGTTTTTCTTCAACCTTGAATCGTGGTGGTGATGTAAATATGACACTATATACAATAATATTTGGTTTGGACTGCCTCACTTCACAGTTTACACTCTGACGTGCGTGTGCCACTTCTTGAGGCAGTCCACCACACACAGTGCAACATCACACTTTTTAGAGCAGAAAAGTGTGCTCCTGCTTTTCTTGTTTATAGAACAAACGTGACAACGTCTTTGTTTCCCTTTAGCTGGCCAGTGTTTTGAATGTTTCACCTCCAGTCGACTCAGTTGGGCCCCAGATGAACTTGGCCTCCCCCGAGAAACGCCACTGACCGTGATATTCACCTCATGTGATTGAAGAATCAAATCACGCACCAAAATTTCGCGGAATTTTTTGTGTGTCATTTTTCCATCACATGACTTGTGTAACAGATATGCATTGAGAATAGTCATGTCTAGGAGGTGGAAGAATAATTTCTTTGTCCATTTCCATGTCCTCTGAGCAATGCCATAGCTATTCACCATTCTATCAGATTTGTCCACAAAGCCCATGTGTGCGTTGTAGTCTTCAGTTACATGAGGTTTGATAGCACGGCCAGATTCATCTCGGAAGTTGCCATCCAATGGGGAGGGTGCATATTCGTCAGAACATACACATCATGCTTGTCTTTCCAACGAACAACGCTTAGATTCCCCTTCACTCTTGTCAAAATATCCCCTTTTTTCAATTTCATCGATTTGGGCCGAATTTCTTGTGGCATTCCACACCTGTCATTGCGAACGGTGCCACACGAATTTATTTTATGCTCTAGAAGATCGTCATACAATGCAGGGGAACTGAAATAGCTGTCCATATAAAGTTTGTGTCCTGGGCCTTCTACTCTTCGAATTAGCTGGAGAACAATGCCATGGGTTGATGTAATTTCTTCGGTTGCAAGTTGCCTTTGTTTCCCCAAATAAACAGTCATGTCATATGTATAGCCCAGAGAATCACAAAGCTTGTAAATTTTTGTTCCAAATCTTTTGTGTTTCTTTGGAATTACTGCCGAAAAACCACTCTTCCTTTGAACAGCACTATCACTTCATCAACAGCAAGATGTTCCAATGGATTGTAAAGTTCACAAAATTTGCTGTTAAGATTGTTGAAAATTTTTCTAATCTTCCAGAGCCCATCGTACTCTGGCTCATCTCGATTTGGAGGAGCTTCGTTATTCTCAAAATGCAGGAATCTCAAAATATGGAAGAAACGGTTGCGTACCATGGTGTTATGATAGAATGGACTGTAGTACTGCTCATCTCTCGACCAATAATCTTTCAGGATGTCCCGCTGATTGTGGCCCATTTGAATTATTATAGCCAAAAGTTTTGACATTTCTTCAATTGTGATGTCAGGCGGTTGAGCAGAAGGGCCTGGAGCATCTTGGCTTGCCAAAAATTGATGAAAATATCTGTTTGTTTCTTGTACCAAGATCTGGAATATATGTTGGAAAAAGAGAATGAAAATGGAAAAGGGAGAGGACTGAGCACTTATATTGGGAGCAGCGGATCTGTTTATTCCACTCGGAGGACCAGCGAAATCTAATAGCTTTGGCGAATCCCCGGATCTTCTATCGCGAAACCTGATCTCCATTTCCCCTGCCTCATTACTTGAGGATGACGACGACATATGCTCACGAGGTTCAATGACCTCATCGAGTTCTTCCAACTCTTCATCAGATTCATCTTCCATTAATATTTCCTCCAGTTCTTCAGCATCGAGGAGTTATGAGTATCAGGCTTGTTTTTGAGGTTCCATCTTGGGGGAAGGGGCTTCCAGCTAAATCCTATAATTATGATGATTGAAAAAGTGAGACTGTTAGGAACACCTGTTAGGAACACTCGCAAAATTGTGATGCAAAGTAATTGCAATAGCAGTTGAAAAGTGCCAGTCTGCCACTGATACCGAAAGTCACAGTGACGAAGATGTCTTCATGCACAAAGTAACACTGGCTCAGTGGGTTTATACCTCTTCTGAGATTCACAATAAAAATGATATACAAAGAAATATAGGAGTCTGACACTGACTTCCTAACTGATAACGAAATATTAGAAAATCCGCCACTGACGTCCTAACTGACAATTCAACACTGCAAACCAATCCCTGAATGTGTCACACTTCCTTGAAAGCTCTGGTAGCACTGATATGCAAGCGCCCACGAATATTTCCTCCTCTAAGTTCTCAAAACAAAGCTGACCTCTATTGGCTCACCAGGTCATAAACAGTCATATCTAAATGTAAATAGTTTCGAAACCAGTACCCTGATAAACGATTTCATTGTTCAGAGCTAACAAATAAACGTCTGGAATGAAGTTCATGAGTTTGTTTGGGTTTCAAACCCAAGGTCAAACTTCCAGCACTCACAAAGGAAGCACGTAGCTTACCTCTAAAAATTATAACATTCGGCCAGCTCAGCTTGCTACTTGCTGCCAATAATTATATCATTCTGCCCTTAAAGGTTAATGAAAATTATTTGTGCACTTAACCTAACCACAGGATTGTAGAGAAGGAGGAGGAAGTAGTAGTGTTGATATCAGGGATTCAGATGTTAGATTTTGTACAGAGAACCACATAATTGGTTTAAAGGCATTTAGTTACTGTAAGTGAAGTGTAGCATGCCAGAGATGTCAGCATCAGGACAGTCAGCTTCAAGTGGAAGTGCCCCAACAGTGTAACCTTGTAACTCTGCATGATAGCTTCACTGCTTGTTGGAATCCAAAAATGGTGCTTGAGTTGTTTGTACTGCTGATACTGCATGTTGTATCAGGCTAAGAGGAGCCAGGTTCAAGCAGAAGTGTCACTATAGTGTAACCTTTCATCTGGTAAAGTTGACTGATAAGTTCATACTGAAATATGTTCTTTTGTAGTGATGATGGAGATAACTATGAATCTGACAGTGAAAGGGGCACACAGACAAGAAGAGGGCGTGAATACAGGGACAAGGACAGTGACAGTTTAGATTCTACAGAGAAAAGGGACCATAACAACAGTAAACCTGGTACTCCAGCCAGAACAAAACCATCAGCTGCTAATGTTAAGAAGATAGACCTAGGAGCTGCAGCACATTACGGCAAAGATCCCAGTTCATTGGTAAGTTGAGACAATAAATGCTGAAATAGTTCCTTTGCTTTCTGAGTTTCTCTTTCTTTGCCTTGTTTCTGTCATTTCTTCCTCCTCGTTTCTCCTGTCATCTTGTACTTTATGTTCAGTTTCATTATCATCTTGAAGTTTACTGTTTTCCATAGGCATTTGTAAGGTCCAGTAACTCAGTGGTCAGTAAGTTCAGTGAACAAGAGTTGTTGTGGACTGAAGACTAGGAAAGAGACAAGTCCCAAGATTTAAATATAATTTGGCACCTTCTGCTGAGTGTTGCAGTTGAATGGGTAGTACTGCTGCTTTGAAATTTGGAGAACCCAGGTTCACATCTTGATCCAGAGACTGGCGACATTGACTGAACGTTTTTTTTTTGTGGTTTTCCTCAGTGCCATCAGACATATGGTCAGGTAGTACCTCAAACATGACCATAACTGTTTCTTTCTATATCCTTTCAAATTCATTATTCACCAGCTGTCCTCACATTCAGCTCTGTGTGATTTGAGATATTGAACCCAGTGTTAAATTAACACAAATAAATACAAGAAAAAACAGACACTTATACCATGAGTGATGGCATGCAGTGATTAGCAGCAGCACAACCTATGTTTGTTTCTCTGCCAGTGCCGTAACATGTGAACTGGTTCTGAGCCTCCATGACGTTCCTGTCCAGTGGGCACCATGGTGTCTTTTCTTTGAGGGGTTGAAATGACTGACTCACTTCCATGTGGAGAGGTTAAGAATGCTTTGAGCTTCACCTCCACTCTCTCCCTGCACATCTTCTTGGCTTGGTACTGAGACGTGGACACCTTTACATTTATAGCTGTTGTGTGTGTGTGTGTTCTGCAGAACAGCAGTCCTGTGAAGGCAAGGCCAAATGCAAGCCAGCAGGATGGTGGCAGGGGGCAAGGTGGTTTGCTTGGTGATGTATTGGGAGGAAGTGCTGCCTCAGGTCTTGGTGATGAAGATGATTTCAATCCTCGAGCATCAGAAAATTCTCATTCCTCAACTGTAGGAGAGTTTGGTGATTTCACCAGTGCTTTTGGAAAACCTGCAGCAAGCAAAACTAGGTAATGTGCTAAGTGAAATGAAGTGATTGGTTAGCATGCTTGCTTTGTGTTTTGTGAGGGGTCTCAGGTTTGATTATGAGTCCAAACATTTGTAGTTGTTACTGAGGTTCTCGTAGTTCTCGTCAGTTCCTCCATCGAAATGCTAAGATAGTATGAAAAAGCTAAATACAGTCAACTCTCGATTATCCGGGGGCGGATTAACCGGTTTGCGGCTTAACCGGGGCTTTTTTTTTTAAGTTTATATGTTGTTTAATATTCATTCACTTTTGTTTCACATGGTGAGTTTAACACTATTTTCGCACTAGTGTGAACCGAGCTCTGCATTATTTCGTCCCGTTATGCGAACACAATGTTCTAGGGTGGGGGTGAAAGAATGCAAGAATTTTTGGAAAGTTTCAAGGACAAATACACCGCCCCAGGTTATTTAACGGTACCATCTCAGTGTGAGAGTGCATTGTGAAAGTAAGTATCAGTTTCTTAATATAGATCTTCAAGTGCGTTAGCAAAATGTCGGGGTTTAAAAGGAAGCGTGTTGTGTTAAGTATTCAACAGAAACTTGAAATTATCAATCAGCTGGAAAAAGGAGCTGTAGTTAAACAATTAGCAATGCAATACGGTATTGGAGAACAAACTGTTCGTGATTTGAAAAAACAAAAGAATGAGTTAATTTCCTTTGCTTCGTCTTCTAATTCAAGCGGAATGAAGAAGAGAAAAACCATGAAGAAATCAACATACGATGATCTCGACAAAGCGATGCTGACCTGGTTTAATCAACTAAGGGCACAGGGAACAACAATAACAGGACCAGTTTGTGCTAAACAAGCTAAATATTTTTTCGAAGCACTTGAACTAGAAGGGAGTTTTGACGCTTCTTCCGGTTGGCTAACACGTTTCAAGCAGCGTCATGGAATACGAGAAATCAGTATTCAAGGTGAGAAATTGTCAGGGGACTTGTCAGCATCAGATCAATTTTGCACCAATTTTGATAGTTTTGTGAAAAGTGAAAATCTGCTGCCAGAACAAATCTATAATGCCGATGAAACGGGTCTTTATTGGAAATGCTTGCCAACCAGAACATTGGCATTTCAAAATGAAAGACAGGCTCCAGGTCACAAATCCAGTAAGGAGAGATTGACAGTCTTGTGCTGTTCTAATGCATCAGGAACACACAAACTAATACCAGTAGTTATCGGCAAAGCGAAAAGACCACGCTCTTTTAAAGGAACAGTAGCTTCAAGTCTGCCTATCCATTATTTTAACCAGAAAGTAGCTTGGATGAATAGAGCGATATTTAAAGAATGGTTTGATTTTAAATTCGTGCCTCAAGTTCGTGACCATCTAAAATCCCAAGGCCTACCTGAGAAAGCTGTGCTCCTCATTGACAATGCGCCCTCACATCCTAACGAAAGTCTCCTGAGGTCAGATGATGGAAATATTTTTGTGAAATATTTTCCCGCTAATGTTACCGCACTTATCCAACCAATGGATCAAGGAGTTATCTCAAGTATGAAGAGAATCTACAGATCAAATTTGCTACAAAAGTACATCGATGAAGGCAATGATCTGACGTGTTTCTGGAAGTCCTTTTCAGTATTAGATGCCATATACGAGATTTCAACAGCGTGGGATACAGTAAAGCCATCTGTATTGAAAAATTCATGGAAGAAACTGATGCCTTTCATCACTAATGAAGATGACGAAATCCATGGATTCACTGGATTCAGTGAAAATGAGATAGCCATAAAATTGACAAAAGTGGCTAACCAAGTTCATGGTGGTGAAGAAGTCAACGAGGAAAATATAAGAGAGTGGTTTAACTGTGACTCGTGTGAACCGGGCTTCGAAATGTTAAGCAGTGACGAAATCGTAACTTCAATGGGGGTGCAGCCAGAAGAGCGGGAAGAAAGTGAGAATGAGGAAGAGGTGGACAGTGTTGCCAGTAAGAAAGTATCACATGGTGCTGCGCTTAATCATTTGGAATCCTTACTAGACTATCTTGAGAGTGAAGAGGACAGTTTATTAAGTGACAAGCTAATATTACGTAGGCTTCGTACGGATATCCGTAAAAAGGAAAATGCCGCGAAAAAGCAAAAGACAGTATTAAATTATTTTAAGTGTTAAGTGTGACCGTAAAAAGTGCTGGATGTTGTTGAACAGTGATTGAAATAACTAATTCATACTGAGTGTAATGTAAAGAAAGTATTAAATAGGCCATGAGATGACATAGAAATGAGGATGAATAAATTTAAATACAGGTAGGTCTATAGTATTATGAAGGTATTAAAAGGTAAAAGGTAAAGTTGTTCCTCTGCTCAACGAATTAAGCCCTACGCCATTAAGGCGTGTGGGGGAGTGGATGTATAGATCCAAATTTTCTTGACCTCGGCACTAGTTGGAGGTGAGTGGTCAGCTTCACGCCCCGGCCGCTTTACCCCCGGGGAAAGAGCCCCCGGTACCCATTGGATAGGAGGTTGGATGGACCCCAGAGCCGGTCTGGACGATTTGGAGAAGTTAAAATTCTTGACCCTACCGGGACTCGAACTCCGACCCTTCACAGTCGTCCAGCCCGTATAATAAAATTTGGCTTAACCGGGTTTTCGATTAACCGTGACTTCCATCCCCACCATTAGCCCGGATAATCGAGAGTTGACTGTAGTTCCGTTCAGTGTGACTTGTTAAGATTTATTATTTCAGTTATTCATGCCCTTACATGTTTCGGTCTTCAGAGGGACACCTTTACATCAATATAGTTAGAAGCCACCATTACAGTACATGTTCTAAAAGTCAAAGTATATACATACAATATAAATAATATACAATTAGCTGTAAAATCTAAAGTTTTTAGAACTACAGCGGCTGTTCCAGTACTTTAAAATATTTATAGTTAGTTTTTTAAAATATTGGAATTCATAAACCAAGTTGGTTCGTCCTAAGATAGTACTCTGCAGTAAGGTGTGGCCAGTTCCTTCAGCCTTGTCTCTCAGTTCATGAATTGTAATCACTGTTGTGTTTGAGCCCAGTTACTTGCAGAGTTGGTAGGAAACACATGTAATACAGATGGAGGAAAGGAGAAATTCATAACAGTTAGAGTCGGGAAATTTTAAGGAAAAAGACGGGACCTAGGAGTAGATAGTAGGATAGTGTTCGAAAGTAGCTTAAAAAGGAATGGGATATGAGTACATTGAGTGAACACAGCTGGCTCTGGATATGGGAAGGTGGTGGATTATTATGAACAGTGCAAAGAACCTTTGGATTGCTTAAAGGGCTGGAGCCGGCTGAGCCTCTGAGTAAGGTGCTACATGTAGTTAATTAGCTTGTTGAGAAAGGATTGCTAAATAAATTATAAGAGTAGTACTAAACATAATGTAAAGAAACTCTCTTGGTCTTACCTGTATATTTATGTCAGTGTTCATGCTACCCATATTTCTGTCTTAAGACTAAGGAATTTTCTTATTTTATTTTATGGAAGAGGTGGTTAGAAATAAACATTTTAATTATGTTCTGTTCTCTGTCCCTCCTCTGATGATGAGAATAAAATGTACTTATATGTTAGCAGGTGACCCAAGTGACTTTTAACATTTAACGCCACATTGTCTGACATGTTAATGTTGCCAGGCTTAGAAGTTTGTGAAAATGAGACCCAAGGCCTGCTTTAGGATTTTGCCTCCAACAAGCCCCTAGGTTTGGGTTTTGTTTTTGAAAGAGACTATGGTTGGCAGCGTTTACCTGGCACAGAACATGACAGCATAGTTTCATATTTACTTGAGTCCATTAATATGTAAGAACCAACTAAAATTCGTAGAACATTTTTAAAAGCTGTGGCTAATACCAAGACATGAATTACCTCATTTGTTTATGAAACAGACAGGTGAAGACAGTTTTTTTATGATTTGCTGTCTCACCGCCAGTTAGTACACTGTGTCTGTGTTTCTTTCGCAGTGGTGGGGATGATGAGTTTGCGGACTTTAGCAGCGTGTTCAATGCGAATGTTGCTTTGTCTTCCAATACTGTTGGCAGCAGCAGTCAAGAGTTAAACTCTGGAGCCATAAACAGCCAAGCTGCGATACCAAGCAGTAATGGAAATTTGGGTAAGCACTATCATGATCTCATTCCAATGTGGCAGTGACAGTGCTGGAGGCATGTACAAATCTGATTTGCTTGTTGGATGCACTCCACCCTTTGCTTGCACTTGAAGATGGAAAGAGCCAGCCTTTGAAATTGTGTAGAGCGATAGAAAAATGTTAACTTGCATGTGGAGTTTTATGTTATTGTGGTTAGAATTCTGAATAAACATTTAAAATGGTAGCAGAGTTGAGTGTGGAGAAAAAAATATAAGTTGTGATGCAAGTGGAGCTGAATGAGTGTGCCACAGTACAGGGTGTGTGAAGTTCTGTTTGTGTAGCAGAAATGTTCGCAAACTAACCTCTTTATTAGTGTTAACGTTTTTTTAATCACCCTGCAGTTTTATCCAGACAGTAGAAAATGCCTAAAGAAAATTCTTCCATAATGATAATGAACCTTTTGGATCATAGTAACTATTGACATGTGAGTGGAATTGTTAAGTGTGTGAGCTATTGTGATTTTTTCTTTTTCCTCCCCAGATGTTAGCCAGTCCAATGCAGATTTGCTTTCTGGCCTTGGTGGTGTCTTCAGTTCAGTTCAGCCCACTCCTTTAGCAAATAACAGTGCTCATTCAGCTGTGCTCCTTACGACGAATCATAACCTCAGTCCACTAGAAGCCACCTATACTTCACCAGGTGAGTAGTGTCTTCGGTTGTATAAGTTCAGTGTAGCAGTGACACTCTTGACCTATATTTGGGAGGTGCTCAGTTTGAATCTCAGCTAGGACACTTGAGTATTTTGGAAGAGTTTTTATGGTTTTCCTCATGTAGTCCAGGTGTATACTGGGATAGTACCTCAATTGCATCATGGTTGCTTCCAGATCCTTTACAGTTCATTTATCATTTCTGTCTTTTGCTGCTGTATAGTCTGGCTACTGGCAATATCATAAGATAATGAACGCATTAACTGCTCGTCATTCCGATGTACGCTTAAGGTTTCAGCAAAATGTAATATTCTGTATGTAGATGCTAAGAATTGGCGCATTCTGTCTGCGACTCAGTATTGGAGCCCTGTAAGGAATTTTCACTGCACAGCTGTTTGCATCATATCATGTCCACTGGATATTATACTGAGGGCACAGAAGGGAGTCCTGCGGATGGTGGGGATGACTCTGCTTGAGGCATGCCCCTCCTCATCTGCTGTTGTATTACCTTCTAGTTCCTACTGCCCTGTGTCATTATCCTGTCCAAAGCACATGTCACTAGCAAAGGTGATCATGTTATGACTACCAACATTCAAGTGATCAGAATGTTTAGAGAAGGGGAGTGTAGGGAGGTGCTCCAGAAGGGAAAGCATAACAACTGGAGGGGTGTGGGAGGGCATTGACGTGTGGGACTTCTTTCGGGGCCTCTTGTGCAGTGATGGTACTGATTTGTTGATGTGTTAGAGTGGCTGCCTCAGTCAGCTAAACATTGGCTTGAATCCTGGGGAATTTTCTGTTGTTGCCTAGAACTATAGATATATATGTGGCTACCATTAGACAGTGTGCCTAGAAGATGGAGACAGCCATGTTCTTCAGAACATAGGCCAGTCAGTTAATGGATATAGTATTTATTACAGGGAACCCTGAAATCCTGAATACTTCTGTATATTTTTTTTTATTTGTTTCATTCTGGTCCGTCACACTATTAAGTTTACAAATAAGTTTGTAAACTTCTGTACATGTTTTATTCCTTTACTCTCTATTGTTTCGGAATAGGGGACTTGCTGTCTTCTAGTTCTACAGGGCTGGCGCTCATGTTGTAACCCCTCCCATGTTCACTGTTCATCAAAGGGATGCACAGCTAGTAAAGTTTAATTGTGAATAATACCTTGTGGCTTTTATGTGTGAAACTGTTTCTTTTTGTGTGTTTATGTGATGAAGTGAAGGAATTTTTAGTACAGTGCATTTAATCTTGTTATATATGCGAGAGTCTTAATGAAGAACACCAAGTGAACTTTATCACCTTGCAGCTACCGAGAGAAGTCACGAATTGGAAGGAAATGTGCAGCTGGAAACATCAGCACAAGGTCAAGAAGGGCATTCGCCTTCATCACCTGAAGCTGATAATCCATGTTCCAAGATGCCCAATGAAAATGCAGAACACTTGTACCAATTTGCAAGGGAGTTCAAGATGTCGCCTCAGAACATCATGGAACAAAATGTAGAGGGTCGGGAAATGTCTGTTGTCACTAGTAACGTAACTGTTAATAGCAAAATCTGTGAAGTTGTAAGTTCTCTTGTGGCCCTCAAGTTGCCAGAGGGATCTGGTAAAATGAAGTCTCTCATTAAAGCTTTGGTATGTTTTCTGCCTGGTCCCTTTACACCACAAAAGTTTTGTGGCCTTGACATTCCATCAGCAGATTTAGCGAAGTTTTATGAGTTTCATTACAGACAAGTGCTCCAGATTACTTTGGAGAGATTCAGTCCTGAATGGGTTGATGCGGAAGCCGAAGTACTAATAAGTAAACTGATGGTGAGTGATGGAAGTGGAGTAACTCTGCTTTACGACACATTGCATGTACTGACGACAGCATTGAGAGAGACTAAAGGACCAAGTCAGAAGCTAGATTACATAATTAATGTATTGGAGAAGATTATGCGGAGTGGGGCACTAGTTTCTGCAGTACTGGATCACTCTTCTGATAGGAACAAAAGCAGTAGAAGCAAACTAAATGTTTTGATGATTCAGAACCATTTAGATCAAATTTGGGAAGAAATTGTGCAGTTGGTCGTATCATTACCAAGCAGAGTTTCGAACAAATTGAAATACACCATTGAGGATACATTTGTGCCAGATTTTTATTGTAAAGTATTATGTTGTCACATAGCAAGATGTGTGCAGTTTCTGTCTGAGGCTGTTTGTAATGAGGACATTCCATTGAAACTACAAGGGTTATCAGTTCTTCTGAGCAAAGTAATCATTAATTTCAATGATGGCAGAAAATCAGTTGGGATTCTTACGTTGATAGAAATCTTTGAACACTGGTGTTCTTCTCATGTATACCAAACTGTTGTTCAGAACATCCTCTTGAATTTGCACCTTCAAGCTATAGAGACTGTTCTTAGAATGATACTTGGAAAATGTTCGAGCCCGTCTGCTGTGCGTAACATTCTGGGAGATACTGTACATCAGTCACAAACCTGGAAACATGTTCTTTGCACCAAGATGCTTCTGATGTCTTACCATGACTGGAGAGACAGCACCCTTGTAGAGAATCTTGTAGGATATCTAGCATACATGCATTTTGAAAATGTTCGTAGGAAAGCTGGTGCAGATGGTGTTCCAGTTATCACAGATGGTGGAATATTGATTGATGTTTTGGTGAACCTTTTAGTAGTTTGGGGTGATGGGAGTGCACTGAACCACACACCTCTGGAGCAGCACATATACATCACTCAGGCAGTTATCTTGTGCGTTCACTACCTTCACATAACTCCACAAGCGGAAGAATGTGACAAAAGACGTGCACTTACTGAGAGTGAAAGGAAACTCATTGAGAGTAGACTTTTCTTAGGTATTCCAGTTCACTTGGAATCACCACTTGAACCCGTCCGGGCAGTAGGTATGATAACTGCAGAGATAGTCACAAGTGTCTTGCATGCAAGTGATGAACCAAAGCTGAAGTTTGAATATGAAGGCTTGAGTAAGGAAGCAGAGAGCATAGTGAGGGCTTTGAAGGAATTGGTTCCTAGAGAAATAAAAGTTGAAGTGAAGGACCAGCAGGATGTTGTTCGAAACCGCACGGATTGCAACACGCAAATGCACGATGATGATACTGTTGTTGGAAATGAACTTCTGCAGTGCCTCGAGTCCCAGTGTGGCTTGGCGTTAGTCTCAGAAGATGCTGGGGATCAGAATGTGAACGTAAGAGAATGGGGAGAGGAGTGTGTTAAAATGAAGAGAGCAGAGGTTGTGGATGTGGTAACGGAAGAGGAACACATGATGCAGCGTGACAGTGATGATAGCTTAGACAGTGATGATGATTTTATTCCATATGACATGTCAGGCGACATAAAACAGTCAACAAAGAAGCGACCAAAATATTTACGTGACCTTCGTGATGGTTTACTGGAAACTGAAGATTGTGAACGTTTTAGTGAGAGCCTTGAGGTCTGCGAGACACTCATCCTGGCTCAGCTGCCAGACGATGACGTCTCTCTGGGTATAGAACTTCTTGAAATATTAATATGTCTCGAGGAGAAGTTCTGTGTCGATAATTTTGATACCCAGCGTTATTCTGCATCTGTTGCAATTGTATTGACATTTCCTGAACCATGTGCTGAATACATCTGTTCCCAGTTTAATATGGGATTTGGTAAATACTCAATTGGTCAACGATTGTTCATGCTTGATTGCCTGGCAGGTGCTGCAAAAAAACTTTCAAATATACAGGCCCCTATCAAAACTTCAGAAGGCATGAAAGGTACCAAACACCCCCAGCTGGAAACTGGCAGAAAATTGGGCAGTACGCAAGACGCAAAAGAAAATGTTCCTCATAAGTTGGTAAACGCAGCTACAGATATTATAAGGAGGCGAATAGAAAGCCATACAAGGAGATTCATATCAGCTTCAAAGCCTGCACCTGTTGGTCAGGCAAATAAATTTTCAGCTGTAGCCGGTTCATTCTTTTTCCCTTTGCTTTATGGTGTAGGAAGTAGCTCAGGGGGAAACATCTTCCTGAGCAGTTCGAATGCAGACCGAGATTGTTTGTTGTTGGTCCATTTTCTTCACACCATTGCAGTAGTGATGACTTCATCGGTCAATTGTACAGCGTCCGTACGGATGGGCAAGGAGCTGATGGATCTCTGTTGGACATTGCGGTATCATTCACAATCGAAAGTGCGACTTGCTATCATGGGTTGTGTAGGAGCAGTGATCTTTGCTGTACCAAAGCCAAGACTGATATCAGATTTTTATGAATCATTATTGGAGTGCAGGTTGTGGCTTCTTGATGTAATGAAAAGTGGACTGAGGCAGGGAGATCCGGATTCAGAGTGCAGAGAATTTGCAGCATATCTGTTGGTGTTAATTGGAAGTGTAATTGGTGAAAATGTGCTGCCATCTGGTTTTGTTAATCCATTCTGAGGTGTATCTTTATTGAGGGAAAGTCTTTGCTTCAGGAATTGGTACATAACAGCTTGGCAACCCCTGTATCATGTACCTTTGTTGGCAAGCACACACAGGCCTCAATTTCATTACAGTTTGTAAAAGAATTTCTATTAACACTGCTTTCTGTATCTGTTACCTCATAAATTAGTAATTAAACGTGCTTAAATACTTATCATGTTGTATTATTTGGTACTGTTACTCTTAAGTACAATACAGTATGTTTCTTTAAGTCCATGATTCCTTTACCCAGCCATCTAATTTCCTGTATGGCTGTGATTTTCATATTGTACTTATCTATCTGTTTTAGTACCAATTTCATGGCACCTGGTTTATTGAGAGTTTTCACATTCCATGTACCTAGAGATTAGTCCATATTCTTTGCTAATTGTCGTCTTCCATTTTGTTGAGGTTTCCAAGGCTTGATTCCAGGTTTCGAGACATTTATATTTTTTATGGTGAGAGGTCATCAGCCTCTCACCCAACCCCCAACCTGGAGGACCAGGGTATCTCTTTTAGTCTGGATCATCCCCTTTGACCTGTCTGGCATGGGTGGCCCTACCAGTAGCTATGCTACTGCCGACATAGCTCTCAGGGTCATTTGACCACACAAGCCCCTCCACTACGTCAAAGTAGAGACACCACTGGGGAGAATAATGCTACATGGACCATCCTTATTTGGTGATAAATAATGCCAGTAAATGTTGAAATGTGATCAGTCTCTGGATTACTAATTATGGTAGGCGACTGGAAGAGACGATTAAATGCAGCTAGAATAATTATTTAAGATGAGTTTTACCTTGAAAAATTGACTTCTCTCTCATGGGGTCATGCCTTCAGGGCAGGAACCGCTGCTTTAGATTGTGGTACACACACAATGTGATTTCTATTTCCCCCTGATGATGATTGTGGTAGTGAGTAGAGGGGACTAAACAGCTGAACTTCAGAACTGAAATCATGGCATGGGTGTGGTATCTGTCATACATAAAGTTGAGACTTTCTCAGAGTAGGTGAAGGGCCATAGAAACGTTTGTGCAGCGTCCACCATGGGGTGTGAAGAATCCTTAGTGTGGAAGGATAAATATACTTCATGTCTGTGAGCAGGAGGACTTCCGAACTCTACATCTGGTGTCGCGGGGATACCACAGCTTCAGCCAGCAGTAGAACATCCTCATCAATCCACCACAATGTCTTCCAGCCAACAAAAACAGCAGGTACAGTTACAGTTAGATAAAAGTAGAACTGATCCACAGAACTTTCTGACCATCTGATTTAATTGTAGCACATTATTACATTCTCTGGCTTGATGTTTCAGCACTTTGCTGGTCGCAGAGTAAAGAACTTAGTAAACTTTTTGAAGCATGTTTGTTTAGGAGCAACATGCTGCAAGACGGTTGGTCTGAACCCAGTACTGCATCTTCTGTGTATTTTTATATACTTATTTGAATTATGTCTGTTGCAGTGATAATAGATAATAGATGCGATTAGGAAATGAAAAGTGAAGAATTATGTTTTTGCTGCATTTTTTAATATATAATTACTGGGGGGGAGGTGTCAGCATATTTTAAAATCCAAATGTTTCTGTGGATGAAAAAGTGTGACCAGCAACGGTGTGCAAGTTTGTTTTGCATGTTTTTGTTAGATTGGCAGTACGTGGACCAATTCTGGGAGTCTTAATATTGACATTGACAATCTAAGCATATCTGGTTTCCGAGGAACATCCAGATCTGGCATGTCGGCTCCATCAATGAACCAGCTGGCTGTGAGCAATCCTACGTCTCCCTTGTACCCTCAGCAGACCAGTAATCGGCTACCAGGTATTTTATGCATTTATCCCTCTTATGTTGTTTTGCAGTTGTATATGATTGAGATCTGTTTTGTAAATGTTGATAACTATTATGAATACTGATGAACTTAAAATGTATACTTCTGGGATTAGTAATAACTGATCATGTAGCTGCATCTAACACAGTAGAACATAACTAAGACTCTGCTTATAGAACCAGAAGGTTCGACATGGCTAATACCAAAGCCCACCGCTGGACACAGTCCTAACCCAGTTGTATCTACCCCCATCCTCATAACCTGTTTCCCTAACATCCATCATACTAATTGAGTCTGGTAGCAGAACCTGAAGATTCAACATCATCAATGCCAAAGCCCACCACTGGATGCAGTCGTCATCCAGTTCTTTCCAGCTCTCATGCCAAGCTTGCTGACAGCTTTTTGTTTCTTACTTGCTTAGGAGCCGGGATAGTGTAGTCGGTATAGCGACTGGCTACGGGCTGAATGACAGAAGGATTGGAGTTCAAGTCCCAGTAGGGTCAAGAATTTTCTCTTCTCCAAGTCATCCAGATCAGCTCTGGGGTTCTCCCAACCTCCTATCAAATCAGTACCGGGGACTCTTTCCCCCGGGGGTAAAGTGGCTGGGGCGTGAAGCTGACCACTCACCTCCAACTAGTGTCAAGGTCAAGTAAATATGGATCTATACATCCTTTCTCCCGTACGCCTTCATGGAGTAGTGCTTAATTAGTTAAGCAGAGAGACAACTTTATCTTTTTACCTTGCTTGGCTTATTCTGCAGCCACAAAGGTGGAGGTAGGATATTCCTCTGAAACACGTGAACTTCTATCAGACTATGCAGTATCACATCCCAGAAGACAATATTCTTCATTATCATATTTGTCAGAACCTCAAGTCCAGCTTCAGAGTGTATTGTATGTATGATGTGTGGTTTGTTATTCCAGTCATGTCTCCTGGAATGGGTGGTGTGGGTGTGGCACCGGCCTGGCCCCTACAGCATAACATGAGTATTCCACAACAGCAGCTGCCTCAGAACCAAGCATTCTTCCCAGCATTTAAATGAGGGTATCTTCTGTTGTTAGGTAAGCATTTCATATGTGGGATCAAAGCGTTGCAGCTCATGTGGCATGTTGTAACATCATAGCCAAAGCCAAAACTTGTCAAGTATTCATTCACACAGCTTCCAATTTGCTTATTTTTGGGTATATCATAAATACTCGGAATATCTGCCAGGCCACTGTCTACTATTTCGGCGTTGGTATCCATACACAATTTGAACGGGCATTTGATCTAAATTTGTCAATACTTGAATCTGGAAGTGGTTAGTTATACATATTTATGTTACTCTGTAGAGGAAATAAAAGATGTATGATTTTAAATAAATTTCCCTGTTTTACCAGATACTGGTAATGGTGTCTTGTTGGTCATGCATGTTTATGGGTCTGTGCTTGTACACTTACGCCACGAGATGTGGCATTGCGCTATCTGTGCCAGACAACCATTTACAAATTTTGTGCTTGTAGTTGGCTTCTGTTCAAACTCACGCTTTATTTTTGCCCCATTGTTTACAGTATTTTAAAAGGAGGAGCAAATTGGAATGCTGGTTTCATGTTTCATTTGCCAGAGTTATGATATTATCTGATATGTGAATTTAAAGGTTATATGAAAAAGTGGGAGAATATATTTTTATAGCATTGCCCTTTAAGTTGTAAATACTAGTTGGGTTAAAGCTTCCTCCATTTTGAGATGTATTAAGAGAACTAGGAAGCTGTGAAATAGTCTGTTGCAAGATTTCATTTACATTTCTGAACTTGGTTCAGTGTTACATTCAGATATGTACAGTATTGTGTTAATGCATTGCACTTGGGCTGCTGTGGTGGTGAGTAAGCAGATTGTCATGACTTGCAGTCTGCTAGTTGCAAATTGTTTGAATTTGTTATTAAATAAGGGGTAACGTTGCAATATATGCAGTGGATTATGGTTCACTTGTGATAGAAAATTGGGAAATAACTAAAAGGAAAAGGCAGATGTATTGGAGATTGTGCCTTGCAAATGGACAACACGCAGAATAGTGAATTTTTCCACGTGATTACAACTGCACAATACAATTAATGCAATTAAATGCTGAGTTCATCTAAAACTGATGGTTTCTTGTTTCGTTCGTTGTGTGGGCAGTGGGTAAGTCTCAATAACTTTCAGGCTCACAGTTAAGAACATTCTGGAGCTGCAGTCTCTTGAACAATAAGAAGGAATACCGGCATTGCATAAATATTATTAAATGTATCTCATCTTTCTCCTTCCTTTTCTGTTTCTCATCATCTTTGCATTTACATTGTACATTCCTGTATCAGAAAACAACGCTGGTCATGCAGGATTAAGATCAGACACCCGTGTGTTCTGATGTGGTGAGATATGAATAGTGTCTTGAAACACACAGTTGTGCACTGAGGATATGAATGGATTAGAGTGGGCCTTTGAGCATTAGAATGGACTGGCCTGTTGTTTGGCCACCCAGGTTTTGCTCTTTTATTGAAGGAATTTGGTTTACTGTCATAAGATTACATTTGTAGAATACAGTAGCCAGGTACCCTCTATGGACTGGCCTAGGAAGGTCTGTCATAATTCATAATGTCTCATATTTGAATGACCGTGATACACTGCCTTGAAACATAATAATTCATTCAGTTCTACCAATGTAAATTGCCTCCTATGATATTTGGAACTGACTCAGGATTATGGCTTTGGTATCAGCAGTTTTCAATGACTGATGGGTTGTATTGCTAGTTCGTTAGGCTTAAAATATCATGGTCTGTATTTTCTAAATTGAAAATGTCTCTACCATAGAAGAATTGCTGGAGGTGTGCCTCAGGTACTGAAGCAGTTGGGGTGGTGTGTAGTTCCCAGTTAGTGTCAAGAGTACTGATGTTAATCTTATCTGCATCAGGTATTTATCAGCATGCATGGCAGTACATTAACAGTGCATAACTTTGGCCTTTGGTCACAATTTCCTTCACATGATGTCTGTTGTTTGAAGTTATATTTTATACCTATTAACCCTTTCCATGCTGTTGACACACTGTTTTATTCATTGACAAGAATATCTTTATGATCAAATAATGTAGGCAGAAGGTGGTATATGTGTGAGAAAACAGACATAGCACAGAAGGGTAAAAACCCACTAAGATAACAGAAGTTTGTACAAAGCATAGGATATGAATTTGTTCATTTGAAGTAACAGTTAATTTGCATTCCAGATTTAAGCAAGAATTAAAAATTGATTTCATTCCATGCGTATATCCAAGTGAGAAAATGACAGCATAATATTTCTGTTAAATAGAAGCAATTATTTTTAAAATATATATTTTTCTTTATTTTTAAAATATTCAGGATATTAATGATGGACTGATTGAATTAATTTTGCAGGATTCTTTCTGTTTTAGGGATATGTTTGTATATTTGTTATATATATATAAATGAAGCTTATGTAAATATATATAGGGATAAGTATTAATAATGTAAAAGTTGCACCATGATTGATTTTACATTTTTGGTTTATGATATTTGGGTGTATTTCCTATACAGAACACTCTCATACTTGTCAGATATGGCAAGATGTGGCAGTTTCAAGCATGTAATCACATTCTTGGAGCTCTGCCACTGCTCATGGTGCTGGGGTAAAGAATTTTGTACAGGTTGCTGAATTATAGGGGCACAGACTGTGTTTATTATGAAACACATTCAGTGAAGACAATTCAGAACATGTTTCTTCCTGATACAGTGGAACCTCCTTTCAGTGTTTATCAGTTTAAGGTTTTCCCTCATTTAATGTTGAATTTCAAGGATTCTAAGTATTCCATTGTTAAATTTCCTCAGTTTCCTGTTCAAATATGCTGCTCCCAAAATAAATCTTAAAGGAGGAAATCGAAGTTTCACTGTAGTGATATTCCATTTTTTTAAGGAACTCTGGTTGAAGTTACAAATTAATGCTGTTGTGTTAATGATAAAACTATTTCCATCTCGATTTTTACATTCTTGACATGATGTTTAGTTGATTTGGATTTAACTTCTTACACATCTAGCACATAATATGGTTAGGTAAGCAGAGAGAAATTTTGTCCATGCATACTTCAAACTAATAGTTTAAACTTTTACTAGAAGTATGCAGAAATCCACTATTCTGTTTGTCTTTCTAATATGTTCTATAAGAAATGTGTGGGAAGTATGTACAGTGTGATGACCGTAACTTGTGGGAAGCACTATAATGAGACTCCTATGACTGTAAAAGGATTAATGAGGTTTAGTGTGGAAGGACTGTCATGACGATCCTCTGAAGGATGAAATTCATCAGAATAATATTTAAAGATTTATTATCACACAGAAACAGTTTCCAGTTAATGCTCTTTGGGGGAATAATTGCTGTGTATTGCGAGAATCTTATGAAACACATAAATACAATCTGTGGGCAAAATGTGGAGGTAGTATGTATAGTTTGCATCTGTGTCCTTAAGGGGACCTTCATTTGGTTTCATGACTTTCAGTTTACAAAATGTGGCTATAAAGTCTTGACGATGCTTTCCTGCATCTGAGGTTCAGAAACTGAGTCAACATGAATCTAGCTTATGAAAATGCTCTAAAATGTGATTTAGCAATTAAAAACAAATTTCACTTGTCCCTAATTACTTCTGTAAAGTACTCTATCAGACTGTATGTAATTTAATGTGACATTGTAAATTTAAAATCAACTCAGTATATTTCATGTTGGTAGGCACCAGAAAAGGATAGCTGTGGGAAATGCTGTTCTGGGCAGTGCACATTTGGAGCACGTGTTCATTTAATGCTATTAATTAATGGCAGGATTTTTCATGTGAAATGTGATGGCCCACATTAACTTCAGAATAGCCTCATTGACCCCTGCTCCATATGAAAAGGAAAATTAATTGCCTACATCATTTTAACGTGCACTCACAGTGTCTTCTTATCCCACTGGTTACACACTGAAAAGTTTGAACAAACATGGGCCAGATGGCTGAGTTCCTTGGATAAATGGAAACACACAGTTTTCTGTTAACTTAGTGCACAGATTGAAGCATACATTGCGCAGGTTTGTACAGTAATCTGTGTTTGTCGTATTTACTGCTGTTTCATCATGAAGTTTTTACTCAGTAACTTAATACCATCTGCAACACTATGTATGCAGGTAATGGAATAGGTATATTCCTGTTTGAAACATCTTTGAGGGTATGTTGTACTGTCAGGCTAGTTGTCAATGGAAATGTCATCCACTGCATCACTCTTTGAGCAAACATCAGCCATGTATCCCTTCTGCCACTTTACATACACACTGCCTTCACCTTGGGTAGGTGACCTTATGGAGGAAATGTCCTATATGGTGAGTTTGGTTCCCACTCTATGTTAAATGTAATCTAGCAATATTCTGATGATGTAATGTACGTAACTAATTGATGAAGAGATAGCTTCAAAGATGTTTTAGACAGAGTATTATAATTTGATCAAGAAGTTTTGCAAACCAAGCTATGCATGCTTCAGTGGTAAAAATAGATTGGAGTATGATGCCTTCTATAAAAAAAAAAAAGGCTGTCCCTTGAGTAGATGAATGTGTTTATATGTACATTTTTTTTTGTTTTACATTACAGAAATTGTGAACATTTTTACTTGGGGAATAGGTTGTGGTTATTGTTACATATGGTGTGAACTGAAATACGTACAGATGCTGACAACAGTACAGTTACTATGTACATAGCAACCCTATTTGTTGTAAATGTCTTAATAGGAACATCGGTGTATTCAGAATTAATTAACATTGTGCCTTAAGAAAAACTAGGACTGTCTGCAACTGATGAATGTAATGAATATCTTTCAGTAATTTAAATAAAGTGTCATTGTTTAAATCATTCTTTATTTTAAAGTTTTCATACCCATACTTGTTTCTCATGAACTTCACCAAGCAGCATATCCTGAGAAACTGATCATCACTCAGACTGTGAAGAAATCACACGCTTTTTAGAACCATAAGGTTCAATATTATGTCCATGACTAGGCCATATCCTGAGGCAGATGAAACTAATCCACAACCCCTTTCACAGTTTCAGATCCGTTTTAGACTCATGGGATAAGGGTCTGGTTTCTATGTACTGAACAATGAAGCTACAGCTCACAATTCTAAAAATATAATTAAAGGCAGTCCTAAGAAAATAAAGTTCCTTCCCTAGATGTTGAAATGGTACAGGAAGAACTAAGGATAATTTACATGCAATTTTAGATTGAAATAACAATGACCGTAGATTCCGGGAAATGATACCTCATAGACTGGTGAATAGTTACATGTGCTTCAGAGGAACCTTGTCCCTCCATCTTCAGGAAAAACAAGACCTTAAGAGAAGACAGCAGGTTCCTCTGAAATGTTGGTGTCTACCAGGCTGCACAGTGTCAAATCCCAGAATACGGTAATCTTGATGTTTAATTACACTTAAATATGTAATGCACACTGACAGGTAAACTGTACATGTTAGGGTTAAGATTCTAAGACCAATTATTTCCTATAAACATGAACTATGATAACTCAGTGAAGTGACAGCCTACATGCTGAATAACCAGGATCTAATGCCAGGCACGGACATGGAGAATTCTATCAGTTCAGAATGCCTCTGAGCTTATCTTCTCCTATCTGCTTGTACATCAAATTCCTTGCCTGGTGTATGGCAAATTGCATATAGCACCTGACCTTTCCTACCCTGTCAGAAACCTACCAACAATATTTCTATACAGGTCTAAAACCGGCCACCAACTTTATAAATGTAAGCCACATTAAGGAAGGGTAAGGTAAAGCTGTCCCTGTGCTTAATTAATTATGCACTACACCATGAAGGTGTATGGGGGAGTGGAAGTATAGATCCACATTTTCTTGACCTCAGCAACAGCTGGAGGTGAGTGGTCAGCTTCATGACCCAGCTGCTTTACCACTGGGGAAAGAGCCCCCAGTACCCATTGGATAGGAGGTTGGGTGGACCCCAGAGCCGGTGTGGATGACATGGAGAAGAGAAAATTCTTGATCCTACCAGACTCAAACTCCAATCTCTTGGTCGTCCAGCCAACAGCCAGTTATTATACCGACTGAGCTATAGTGGCTCAATGTATGCCATATTATGATTGCATTAGCTTTGTTCTTTACGTTCTCTGACATCTCTTCTAGTAGTATTTTTCCATCCAGAGGCCTTTTTTTAAAAAGAGAAAAGTTTTGCATGAATTACTTTGTAGCCCATAGCAATGATAAGAAACAGTTAACTTCCCTCAAACTTGTCAGTAAATGGTTACTATCACACTGATCACTTTCCTCCATCCATAAAAGATCAGTAGGCTCATTAATAGTGCTGAAGGCAAGATTCAAACTGGATGTCTACTGAATACAAGTGCAGTGGTACCACCAGAGCAACTGGCTTGGTTCTATGGAGAAACATGTCCCTGTCACGAATTAAATCCTGTGTGTCCAACCCAACACCAATCACCAACTTTCTGTATATTTTTCTTTCTTCAGTTCTCAACAAAGATTTTGCTTCATATTAGAAAATCAGTCATCAGTCTTTTTGCTTAGCCTTCTTCTTCTTCTTCTTTTTCACAGACTCCACAGTTTCTTCTTGGGTTGTGTTTATGGTATCATCACCTGGAACACAGAGAAAACATTAGCTATTACTTCCCTGGCCTCACCATGAATTGTTCCGTGTGATTGTCGGTGTCCCATTATAGTGACACAAACACAACTTAATACAAGCGCTATGGCTGGTACCAACTAACAAGCAACACAATGTACTATACACCTGACCACACACCAAGACGCTACATTCCAAACTTGGTAGTACCCACACTGACGTAAGCTGATACGACTGCTCCCCCAGCCCCACGAGAGATGGTATGACCCCTCTACTACAGCTAGGGTTCCGAGAAACTAACAGTAGCTGCAGAGAGAAAATCACACATTCCCTCAGATTACCCTCAAATAACCACAATGTAGAACAAACAAAAGTCTGTTCTTTCCTCTAAACATTGACGTCACACCCGATGCCATCTAGTGACAGAAATGCTTTACCAACTGATTAACAATTAGCTGATCTGATTGTTTCATTTCCAAAATACAGTTCTTAAGATTACGGCCACTATGACCAGTATGCCAACCCACTTAGTATGAAAGATGTTAAAAATGGTGTATTCACAACCAGTTACAAGGGAGGAACATTGGCAGTAGGGTATGGAAAATTATGAACAAGCAAGTTAAGAGTTTAAATATATATTCTGAGAACTACCGTTTTCATCAGTTCCTTCTTTCAAAACGTCACTGTTTCTCTTCTTGGCCTTCTTTTCCTTCTTCTTCTTCTTCTTCTTTGCAGCAGCCTGAAAATAAAACAGGCAGTGATCATACCTCAGTCTCATTCTAACATTTTAATTTCAAAAATCTATGACATGTAGAATGAGACTCGCACAGCGTGATATAGCTGCAAGGAAAATTGAGCAATGTTTCAGAAGACACTGAGTGGCATAAAAACTACCAATTTAATGAAAATGTCTATATAATTTCAGTTTTATTTAAGATTTATATATCTTTAGGAACTGCTGTAAAATCAGTTTGCATTTATGACAACAACAATTTTCCAAGTTTTCAACATTCATTTAATTAAACTGCGCTGAAATCTGACATCATTGAACACCATTTGTTCTGTTATAACACGAGTATGAGAGCAGACAGGACTCCACATTTGGTGCTAGAAGAACTCTGGGCAATGGGACTAGCAGTGGGGTGTGGCCAGTAAGGTTTTGAAGTACAGGAGTCCTTGATCTATCCATTCAGTAGATTTCAGATCCTTTAAGAGCAGGGAATTTCTTGACCCTGCACCTTGCAGCGTGTTAGTTTGATTCCTACCTGCTGAGCTTCTTCAACAGCTTCCTTCATCACGTCTATGTTTTTACGTGGAATCTCACCAGTTTCGTAATACTTCAGCCTGTCCTCTACTTGCTGTCGTAGTTTCTCACCAAACACATTTGTCAGTTGATCTGCAAAATATGAAGCGTGCAAAGACAAGGAAAGATAACAGAATACATCCTCCACTACCATTTCAAGAAGTCAAAGACTTAAAGATTGAATTAAGTATGTATTGGGAAGTGGAAGTACAGCTCCACACATTCTTAACTTTGGAATTTGATTGAGGAGAGTGGTCAGCTTCATGACCTTGCTGCTTTAGTGCCCAGATAACAGCCTGTGGTAAACATGGGAGGGCTCCACACCTCGCCTGGTTGGTATGGAGCTGCTTGGAATCTGCATTCTGATCCCTCAGTTGTCCAGGACACAGCCCAGTTATTATAGCAACTGAGCAAACCCAGCTCCCACAGTTGGGTATAATTATATATCTTGATATGACAGGTGAAGTATAGCTCAACTTGCTACCTGCTACCTGACTGTTAGCTTCTTGCATGGCAAATTCTTAAACCCTGAAGATGGAATCAGTATTTTGCTTCGAAACAATGGGCTCTCTCTGATCTACACAGCATTGCAACCGAAAAGACTACTATTGATAGTAACCCTGGGAAAACCTCAAATCCAGTAAAATTAATTGGTTTGACCATCTGAAGCAAAAGAATTGAAGATAAATTATCATAGCTGGGACCAAATGAAATCTGAACGGCTCAGAAAAAGCAAAGAACATGGCTGATGGACCATGTGTGAACACACACTAAGAAAGGTAAGACACAGACTGATGTAACAGGCTTGAAACTGGGGGGGGGACATAATGAAGCACTCTCCTACCCCAGGCTTGGCTATAACAAAGAGAGCATCAAGTCGCAAGGACATAAGAAACTGGTAAAAAAAATTGTTTTCTTTCTTTCTTTCTTTTTAAATTCGCTTGGTGGGGGGTGGAGTCCAGCTGGGTCCACTCGGCACGGCGGCCACTGACTGGCGTATTGTACCTGCCCCAGTTGATTATGATGATGGAGAATCTGGTGGAATGTAGAATGGAATGAAACCAAAGTACCTGGAGAAAACCCGCCCCAACGCCACTTTGTCCACCATAAATCCCACATGACCAGACCCGGGATCGAACCCGGGCTGCCACAGTGGGAAGCCAGCGACTAACCGCTTGAGCCATGGCGCGGCCCCAAAAACTAGTAAGAATAAACATCATATGGACCTGCATGTGAACCCACAAGTAGATGTGTATAACCTAACAGAGGTAAATGCTTATGTGTGGCATATAACAAATGTTGCTATGCAACCTTGCCATTTAGTTTATTAATCAGACACTTTGGAGATCTGACAGACTGGCATTAAACTGCAGTCACTCACATCCTCTTTCCAATATGAGCAATCACATTACTGAAAAGAAACTCACCTGAGAAGCAATCAATCCTTGATGCGATGGAACACTTGTTGGCTAAGTACCTTGAGATGCGTCCCTTATTCTTGATTCCAGCACGCCCAATAAAGGTTGAGTGGAAGAGTAAACCATACTTTGGTGTGTTGCTACGAGTCTTCAGAGCCCTAATGCAGAATAACAGGATTATTGGAAGAGGGAGAAGATTAAAGCAATATTTAACAAAATAGGTTAGAAACAAACAGCAATGGAAGGAATGTTTAAAGATAATAAAAGAGGAAATCAGTAATTAAGCAAAGATTAGACAGGGGAAGATGGAAAGCAAAGGAAGGAAAGACAAAAGAAAAGGAACAAAGGAGATATGTATGCAAACATGTTTGAGACAGAAAAATGAAGTGGGAAAAAGGGGGGGGGGAGATGACAACATTACTGGCATAGTTCACCATGAAGTATAACCAACTGGTACAAAATTCATTTTTTTCTGACACACACAGTTTCTACAAACAGCATAAGTCTTGCCTGAAGAGAGCCTTCTCTGCTCCCAAAATCTGGACTGTGGAGGCTGGATACTTTGCCAAGTTAGTAAGTGACCCTGCATGTGCAATTAGGCGGGCACCCACTTGGTCTCCGATCAGAGTGGCCAGGTTGGGTGCCACGCCAGCCATTTTACTTCGAAGATATTCAGCTAGCTGGCGCCTGTAGTCAGCCAGCGCAACAACTCGTGAGGCAAACATCTCAATATTTAGCAGATCAATGGGTGAAATATCCATACCTGAAACAAGTGATCAATATTACTGCACAAAGCAAGGTGCTTGAAGAACAGACGGTGGGGCGGGGATTGTTTCAATGTGACAAGAAGTATTAAAACTGTGACACTGGCAGATGTACCAAGGGAGGATTTAATTCAGTATTTCAAGACGAAGTCAAATGACATATCTGTTCAACAAAGTACCATTTCATCTGTTGCCTTCAGATCAAATTTACTACATACGAAGGGGTTTGCAGATCGAAATGTCTGTACAACACTGTTTCAAGATGATACTAGTAACCTGACATTATTCCACTAAAGTAATAACTTGACACATCTAAAATAAGCAAACAATAATGCAGTAAGAGCAGTGATCGCAAGGACATCAACAATAAAGACAAAGCAATGTTTCTTTTCTTAGGTTATTAATGAAACTTTCAGAATTGAGACAGTACAGCACAGGTTGTTAGATGAATGAAAATGAACTGGAAAGGAAGTGGTCCTGGCCTAATCAAGGTACTGCCTACAGGGACATAAGGAAAATCACAAAAGAATTTCGTCAGAGCAGCCAGGATCTTGGCTGAGATTCAAACCGGGTATCTGCCAAGTACAAGTCAAGATCATTACTTCTTGATGAACCTGTTTGGTACAAACAAAATAACATGAACATTCTTGATGAACCTGTTTGGTACAAACAAAATGACATAAACAGTCTCTCATCAAAGACCTCATCATCACCACATGCAGAGTGTTCTACATACCCATTGATGATTTTGAGGCATCAAGAATTGCCTGTGCTTTGGCACTGTCCATCACAATTTCTTCCAGTCCTTCAAGTTTGTCCTCAGTCAGCTCCTTGCGGTTCTTTATGAAGCGTGCTACTTTGGCAAACATGTAATTTTCTGGCACTATCTTCACTAGTTCTGGAAAGTGATACGAGTACCATTCACTGCAAACAAATCAACATTAAGTAATGATCACAAAACAATAATTCTTTTAACCCTAGAGGTGGCAACTGACAATATTTCACCAGCCAAGTCTGCTCTGAAAGCGTAAGCTTTTATCGGTTTCTTTCAATTTTCTAAATAAGAAGACAATCTTGCTTGGCATATCAGCAATTTGTGCTGCCATTTCTAAGGCCAATATTCAGTAATATTCTTAATGTAAATCATACCAGTATCTACAGATGTTTTTCTTTAAACCTGCATTTAACTGTGAACCACAAATTAGTCCTAAAAGTAGATAACCTGAATGACTAAACTGATTCATAACAGACTGAACTGTGGTCCAGTGAACATAAATTATGACACATTTACCGAATGCGCATTGAGAATGTGTTGATGTCCTTATCGAGCTGGTCCAGGAGGGCAATGCTCTGGATAATCATATTGTCAACACGATTCACGTTGAATTTAACTTTTGCCCTGGAGTAGCTGTGCCCCAGACCAAGTTGTGCTGTTCCTGAAGACTTTGATGTGAAGCCTTTCACCAGTTTATGGAAATGATACCTTATACCTGGGTACAATTTATAAAAACCAGACATTAAAACATTCTTACATGGGCTCTTCGAAGTCCAGTTAACTACCACTTTCTGTAGTATATACCAGTAAGACTGAAACGGGTGTACTCCATCATACAGTATACAAAAACAGCATCTGTTGAAGTTTATGGTTGCTTGTAGCCTGTTTATGAAATCTGATCAATGATTTATTAAGTAATACAGTCATAACTATATGTGCCACTTGATTTAACATTCAAGAAGCATGTTCATGTATTTCATTTCACTGTCAGTACAAGGAGCAATTATTTTTGTCCCTCTGTATTCTTCTACAGTGAATGAATAAATATAAATAATCCACCATATTATTATTTCAGACTGCTGTTCTATCACAACAATATAACGGTTAAATGCCAAGAAATTCACAGACATAATCACATAAACTATTTGTGGCGTCATGTAATCACTTACCTCTGATAACTTCGGGTACAACACCCACATGCTGACAAACGATTCCTAATGCCTCATTAATACTTGCGCCAAGCTTCGGATCACTCACGCCAAGAATATCCTTGTTCTTTCCCTTAGGTTTTGGCAAGTGAGTTTCTAAAAACAGCTGTAGATCACCAGGCAAAATACCTGAAAAATTAAATATACACACCAAACAACATGTCTGAATTCCTTTGTTACTTACATGTACATATCCTTCTATATATAAACAAAAAAGTTTTGTGGGCATTCAGTCATTCATTCATTTATTCAGCATTCCATAAATCCTTACATGGTTAAACACCAATGGATATAGAAATAGTCAACATGAGTAAATGTGATCACATACTGCATCACAACTGTGCAATGTCATAACAGTTAGCCATATAAAAATATTAACAATACCCAATATGAACAAAAACCGTCATTTATAACAATCAAGCACTATCCACTACCACCCGTAACAAAATCAGAAACTTTAACTGTTGTCACTGTTGTAATATTTGTCCAGTGAATAAAATGAATTTAAAAATAGGAATCTTTTAACAGCAGACCTAAATTTTTTAATCTTATGAGCTTGGTCTATTATATTAAGTGGAAGTTTATTAAAAATTTTAATTCCAAAATAATAAGTTCCCTTTTGAAAGACAGTTAAGTTACACAAAGGATAATGGAGGTTATTACTATGTCTTGTGTTGATTGTATGAATCTCATTATTAGATAAAAACTGATCTTTGTTTTTGACCACACCTTCATTCAACAAATTCAGGTCACCATAGAAACAAATTGCAGAATGTAAATTATGCAGGTCACAAATGAGTCTTTTGTTTCCATGTATCACATCTGTTCTGTGATCATGAACATGTGAAGTGTAGTATACTACATAAAGAACTTGTCTTATAACTGACCATTTGTGCCTGATATCAGTGGGAGATTTTGAGCTCATATACGAGGGTCGATCAATAAGTACCCATGTTTGAAGACAGGTGGCGTTGCTGAGGGAAGCTGGCATTACCGTCGTGTATTGCCATCTGTCAAACGACACCATACTAAATTTCAGACTGATTCATACGTTAGTTTTTACTTGGCCTCCAGTTGCATCAGACGTGTTTCGTCTTTCTCGATACAATGGAAAAAGTGCAATATCGATCCGTAATTCGCTTTTTATTTTTGGATGGAAAAACATGCGAAGAAATAAGAGCGAAGTTGGATGCTGTCTATGGGGACCCTTCACCATCTATGACAACCGTGAGATATTGGTTCAATGAATTTAAACATGGTCGTACATCTGTTTTTGATGAGGAGTGGCCAGGCCGCCCGGCAGACGTCTTTACTGAGGAAATCGTTGAAAAGGTCCATGACATGATTCTCGCTGATCGCCGAACTAAAGTGCACGAAGTAGCAGAGGCTGTAGGTGTGTCGTACGGAATGGCAATCAATATTTTACATGATAACTTAAGTATGAGAAAGGTGTCGGCCCGATGGGTGCCACGATTGCTCACGGTGGACAACAAGAGGATACAGCTGTCAATGTCGAAGCAGTGTTTGGACCTCTTTAAGTGAAATTCGCAGGACTTTTTGCGTCACGTCGTCACCGCTGATGAAACCTGGATACATTATTATATGCCAGAGACCAAGCGACAGTCAAAACAATGGATTCTTCTGGGTGAATCTGCTCCGAAGAAGGCAAAGATGGTCCCATCAGCCGGAAAGTTCATGGGCACCATTTTTTGGGATTCGAAGGGAATAATCCTCATGGACTTTTTGCAGAAAGGAAGAACGATCACGGGGCAGTACTACAGTGAATTATTGGACTGATTCGATAAGAAACTGAAGACACGGCCCCATTTGGCTAAGAAAAAAGTGCTTTTTTCACCACTATAACGCACCAGCACATTCATCCGGAATTGTCGTAGCCAAATTGCATGAACTGCGCTACGAACTGCTGCTGCACCCACCGTACTCGCCCGACCTGTCTCCCTGCGACTTTTTTCTGTTCCCCAACATGAAAACATGGCTCAGGGGGGAAAAAAATCAGCTCAAATGAGGAGGTTATTGCCGAGACAGAAACGTATTTTGAAGAATTTGACAAATCGTATTTTTTGGAGGGGTTAAAGAAATGGCAGAAACGTTGGGAAAAGTGTATCGACCTCAAAGGAGATTACGTTGAAAAATAAAAAAAAAAAAATTGTGAAAAACTTGTGTCCTTATTCCTAACACGGGTACTTATTGATCGACATTTGTAAACTTTATTGTAATTATATACAACTGTGTTCAATGACTGTGTTATGTATAGTTCATATTATGATCACCTTGAGTTGTTCCAATAATTAATTGGAACATTTGTTCTGATATGTGACTTATTCTATATCCAATGGTTTGTGAATTTAATTCCCAACCTGTATCTGGATCTGCTTGAATCTGAAATAAACTGAATTGAATTGAATAACAACTGAATACAGAAATATTCAGCACAGCAAAGATGGTATCTTCTGGAATGTGAGACCCTGTAGTTTGGTAGGGGTCTTCCACTTTTAAGATGGAGGGCTCAAGCAGGTTCTGCTGAAATACTGGCTCTCATCAACCAGGGGAAACCCCTAGACTCCCACTGGATAGAAGCTTCAGTAGGCCTCAAAGCAAGTCTCAATATTTGTACAAAAGACACATTCCTAACCCTGCAGAGAATCTAAACCTGGTCATGTAGTCTATAATAAATCGTTTCACTGATTTAACAAAATGTACATAAAAAAGAATGAGAACAGTCCTGAGGTTCCAACCAAGTACCTACCACATGAAGAGACAAACTAATTATTTACTAACATCTTACACACTGCAAATATAAAAAACCAAATACCCACCTTCTGAGATACTATTCATGTTTTCCAGAGCACTCATTGCAGTTTTAAATGGTGAAAACCCAACGAGTTTCACAACTGAATTGAACCGGTTCAAGTCAGTGACAGAAGCCTCTACTTGTGGCAGCAACATTCCTGTTTCTTCAAATGCAATTACTTTAAACAGGGCATACCCTGCTGCATGCTCAAACAGGACAAAGAGCTGAGACTGAAACAAGATTGTGTGTGTATATATATTTATATATAGCACAAACTCTTTTGCACAGAAACTCCTTCATAGATGACAGTTGAACGAAAATATATACATAACATAGTTCTTAGCTTCCTATACTGTTGGGTTATGTTCTTGAATGGTGTAATACAATCAGGTTCATTTTCTCCTCATAAAAATTGTGCTATTACCTTAACAAGTGCGAAGTCTGAATCAAAACTAAAAAAAATCTTAATATATTCCAGTTGTCTGAGAAAAAAGGTTTTAAAGTAGATAACACTAGTCTTAAGTTTTTTTCATAAATAAAAAAATTGTTATATACGAATATCAAATTTCTACTGCTTCTTAGGTTATGTACATATTTAACAACCGTCCCTGCTTAACGCAATAAAACGTTCGTATTTTACTCACCATTGTATTGCAACGTTACAAAGTCTAAACTGATTATATCGTTAATATATAACTAAAATGTTTCTAGTTACTGCAGCTGTAATCGCAATGTACCAAGGCCATACGCTTAATCATTACATCCTCATTCAATCAAATTATCCATAAACATTATCACCAGTACAGGTAAAATAGGACATATGGAAGCCGGCGTGCAGAGACCTAATATGGATTTCACCTCACATAATATGAAATCTTAACTATTGTAATCTAATGTGAGCTATTATAACTTTATTCTCTTATTGTAATCAGCCAATGTACAGTAATTGACTTGTCCTATATCATGTAACAATGATCTATAGAAACGAAATAAATAAATAAACATTCCTACAAACTCACCATTTTACCACTTCGTTGACCTCGTTTACATGTAGGAAGACACCCTGCGACATCTGTTGTGAATTGAAGAAATGATACGTTAGCTGATTCCGAACGTTCCGAACAGTGAAAACATTGTAAAAGATGTGTGCATGATTGTCAGGTGATTAAGATAAAACTCTCCTACTTCAAAACCTTCAAAACTATACCTCAGTCAAGTCTGGAGGAGATGGTACCCTCTTTAATGACATACTCGCTCCTCATAAATATAAACATAATGTTTAGCAACCACGGATCACCTACAGTAGCATTTCAGCCGACATGTGTGGGACGAGAATTATTTCGTAGAATTCCGTTGAAGTTTAGAAGTTGCTGTGGTCGACGGTCTTTGGTCAATACTTACGCAAAACGTTTCCGCGCGTTTGGAATCAGGAATGTTGTGCTTAAGTGGTTACGTATCTTCTTAAAAATACTTATTAAAACATTTTGAGAAGTATTATTGATAAGTGTTAGTTCTGAGGCCACATGGCTTCATTTGAAGACAATTTTATGCATTATTATCAATGCCAGAAGTTTCAAGAAAGTGAATATAACCCGTTTGTTACTTGCTCCGTTAAAAGAAAATGTTTGTCGCAGTTACACGTAGCTTCTATAACACTGTGAGTTTTCATTCCAGCCAAACTGACTTTTATTTTATTGTCTTGTATTTGTAGCATGACAATGATGATCGATATGCACGAAGCTTTGCCGCCACTTGTATGCGTTCATGTTTAGCTTAACCACAGACTACCGCATAGAAGAATTCTGTAATACTGACTACTGATAAGCAGATATGTAGAATAAGTTATATTTCTAATAATTTAATATTATAATTTTAAATACTTATATTTTTTATTTCTAATAAGCTATATTTCTGATAAGTTAATATTATTGTCATTGTTTCTAATACTCCTATTATATTTCTAATAATTTAGTATTTACTGTCATTATTGTAATTCCTGTAATGTATAAGTTGGATGGACATATCTTGTATCAATGTATTTTGATCTTCAGGATGAATAAATGAATGAATGGATATAGCACTGTCATTGAAAATTATTGGTCCAATGCAGAATCTGTTATGACAGTAAATATCATAAGTAATGTAAATTACCTAAATGTCTTCTTGAGATAAGTGGCTGGAACTTAATGAACCTGGAAGACCACAATCTCAGTCTTCATCACTGTGAAAGTGTCAATTAAGCCATTTGAATGATTTTCAAGTGTCTCTGTTCACAGAACCAGTGACGAGGCTTCGTGTTTACTCCTTGAGGAAAAACTGCGATCATATTCTTCTTTGGTTGATGACAGGAGTGAAGGTGCTGTTAATAATTATGCAAAGTCATCTTTAGCCTTGGCTTCCCAATGTAAGAATGGTAAGGATGAGAGAGTCAGCAGCAGATAAGAGGATATTTGTGTAATTTTTACATGTGCTTGGCCTTGGACAAATTTCTAGTTGGCTGAAAGAAACTGAGGTTCATATGAAGCCTGTAATAGTAGTGGGGGTGGAGGGTGGCAAGGTGGAAACAGCAGCCTTAGTAGTGGCAGTAACTTATTTTTGTTGTAAGATAAAGTTCCAGTAGAATTACTTTTAAACTGTTCCTGTTTCAACACAACAACCATCAAAACTCACACACTTCAATGTGCAATAATGAGTTTACTGGTCTTATAGAATTACATCACACTACACGTTTTGACCACAAGATCAATAAACTTATTGCACAGTGAAATGTGTGTGAGTTTTCATGATTGTTGTGTTGAGACAGGAACAATTTGAAAACAGTTTTATGGAATACGAGTAACACAACAGGATGTATTGCTTGAAGATTAAATTGCCATGAAGACATGGAGTGGAGGTATAGCTCCACCATTCTTGACCTAGGCACTAGATGGAGGTGAGTGGTCAGTTTCATGCCCCAGCTGCTTAAACCCTGGGGAAGTTTCCCCCAGTACCCATTGGATAGGAGGCTGGGTAGGTGTAAGACCTTATCTGGATGTTGTGGAGAAAAGAAAAATTTTGCCCCTCCTGGGATTCAAAGTCCAGTCATTCAGCCCATAGCCCATTTGTTTGTTGTACTTTATTGGATTTTTATCCTTGTCTTTCTTCTTTAATTTGTTCATTCATTTCCTATTTTGTTTTTATCTATGATTTGTTTAATAATGCTTGCAACATCTCAGATTATGTAACATCATGTATTACTAAGGGCATTCCATATATAATGCCTCCTATTTTTTTTTTAAAGAAAACTGCAACAGATCCAGAAATCATAATAACGCAGTTAAATAGAGGAAGATTTCAGCTACTTACAGCTATTTTTCCACATATTCACCACCATTCGTTATGCACTTTTGCCATCAATGAACAAGAGCCTGTATGCTGCGCCCATAAAAGTCTGCACCAGCAGAGGCTAGCCACTTTTTTACAGCTGCAATGACAGCATCGTTGTCTGGAAAATGGTGCCCACGTAGTCCGTCTTTCGTAGGCCCAAAGATATGAAAGTCTGAAGGTGCTAATCGGGTCTATAAGGTGGATGTGGTAGGACAGGCCAGCCAAACTTTGCAATGTGTTCGGTGGTCGCCAAACTGGTATGTGGTCTAGCGTTATCGTGTTGCAAGCGAAAGGTTGTCTGCTTCTCTGGCCTGACTCGGGAAATATGGGCTTTCAGCTTAGTCAGCGTCATCTTGTAGCGTTCAGAATTGACAGTCCCTGATCGTTATCTGCTGATCTGTTTGGATGAGGCGCTGTTCATTGTGAGGAGTGGCAGCTGAGCAGGGACGCCCATGGCGTGGCTTGTCGTGAACTTCACTTTCGGCACTGTTGAAACGCACTACCCACCGATTCACTGTGCTGACATCCACTGTATTTTCTCCGTACACCTTTAGCAAGTGTCGATGGATGTCAATGGGTACAATTTGTTTGGCAGTGAGAAATTCAATAACACATTTCTCTTTCATACACACTTCTATATCAGACGCCATTTTGGTAGACTGCTCTGCTGTCGCTATCTGTCGCACGACAGCCAAATTAACAGTACATTGGCGGGAAGGTTCGACGTTTACTACAAGACCACCAACATCCAGCTCAGATGTTACATATTAACACAAAAAAATAGGCATTATATACGGAACACACCACGTAGAATAAGTGAACAGTGATATGAAAAGACTGTGGAAGGAAGGAGTTATCAACTGATCTGACATACTATCCCAGCATTTGCCTGGAATGCATGAGGTAAAGCACAAAAATTCTCAATCAGGCTAGCTGGTGTCGGGGCCAAGATTTTAACCTTGGACTTCCTGAATGTTAAACAGAAGAGTTAATCAGTTGATCATATCATTATTTCTTCTTCCTTTCACTTGCAGACCTTTTCATAGAAGGGAGGGTAATATAAAAATGACTCTTGGAAAAGTAGTTTATAATGGTTTTGGGTTTAGGATAGGGTCCTGTTGTGGGTTTTGTGAATGTTGTGAAGAACCCTTGAGTGTCATAAAGGAGCAGAGTCTTGACTTTTCGAATGGCAGTCAACGGCTCAATGAAGTAAGGTTTTGTTGATTCACAGCAATCCCACATTTTCCCAAAATGAAATCTTGCTACTTAGAAATGTTCATGTCAGTCTGTTTGCTGGATGCCTAGTAACTTGTTTTAATTCCACAGAATTCTTGTTTTTATAGATCCCCAGCAATGGAAGAGCAACTTGATGGATGCTGGTGACACCATTTCAAAGTTTCTGCATCCACTAAATTGTGACCTGGTTAGTGATACCACACCAAGTAGATGCTCCAGTTGGGATATTACAGAAGAAAATGTTTCAATGCTGCTGTCTGCAAGAACTCGAAACTATATCGCTGCTTTGGATGGAATACAAACATCAGATGCACCATCAGTTTTTGCAACCAGGGCTGATCAGCAAATTTCCAAAGGCACTACTGAAGATAACACATATAAGCAACTTGCACTTTTATATTTAGAGAATATCATCCATCATGAAATCTCTATATATTCTGCATTTGAGTTTGCCCATTACAGTTTCATGGTCGCAGTAATGTGTTCACAACCGTAATTATTTGTCATACCAGAACAATTACCCATCCCTCATGCAGATATACCTACTTTATTTGTCAATATCACATTGAAGTTTATAAATTAAAGTTCACTCGTGTAATTAGAGGATTCAAATCTCATGCAGAAACCATGCCACAGTACTTGCACATGACCTGACGGTGGTGGATCTATCCACTGAATCCATGGCTGCCAATAAAGGGCAAAGCTCTCTGTGCAGAATGTGACAGCTTCTGTGCACTCATCTGTGATTTTACTGTTCTTTTTTGCAGCTAAAAATGCCTGGGTTTGATCCCTTTCTTGCACTTGATCTTGATAGTTTTACTGACTCTCATCTTCCAAACTGCAATTTCTTTTTCGTGTGTAAAGGAAATCTGTCTCCTGTTAAAAGAAACAATAAAGTGCTGTCCACATCAGTTTCCTGTGAGCCTTGCACTCACTAGATCTACTGCGGAAATGAACTCAGTAGCGTCCGACCAGTACTTGCGTGGCAGGAATCCGTGTAGATAACATAGACCCTAAGCTGTGTATTACTCCATTCTCTCTAAAGGCTACTACAAATTATGAAAGCATTTTTTATTCTTTTATAATAAAACAGAGCAGAGTTTATGCACACTGTCCCGTCCTCTCCCTGCAATCCACTCAGCAAAAGCTGTTTTCAGGCAAGAAGTGAGTTATATCAATTATATTGCTTTAGGTTACATTCCTGTGGGACTGACCGCAGCAAATCAACACAAGATGAATGGTTCCAAATGGCAAGAACATAGTGATCCACATGTTTCTGATCATTTGCATGCAACAGGCAGCAACAAAGGCTTTGCATCCAGACCAGAACAAAAAGGTATTCTGTCTGTGAAGTCACAGATATTAATCACCTACTGTACATTACAACATTGTTTCTCTACTTTTGCCATGGCAAAGCACTAGTTTAGTATCTGACAGCATGAGAGATCATGCCATTGTACCTTGGACTTATGACATACTCTGCTCCTGAATATGGTTTTAGGTTGAAAAATAAATCAGGTTCATTATGTAAGTAAATAAATAAATATGACATGGGACATACCAAGTCAGAGTCATATGTAGAATAATGAGTGATTGTTCATTTTTTGGTTAATATTTTGTGTGATGATTGATTAGAGCTGAGGATGATGGATAATGCTCCAGTGTACAGGGATCAGGGCTGTGAAAATGCTTCATTGTTCAAGAGATGTAAGCAAAGCAGTGGTTACAGTCAGCATCAAGTTCCAGCATCAGTAGAGATTGATACCAGCAGGCAGCAATCTTCAAATATTTTTCATACAGCCAGAGATGAAATGGTGAGATACTGTACTTTTAAATAATACTAAAAAATGTGGAGTATGAAGGCACTGGACTCATACTGTAGGCCAAGGGAACTTAAAACATCACTAAAATTTAAACTTCCCAAGTATAGTAGATGCTTATAATGATGATGAAACAACAAGTTCTTGGAAGATCAGACCTATTCCTGTCTAAATGCGGAGGTTTGTGTAGTGTTGCTAATCCAGACTGTGTTGGCAGGTTTGTTCTGGAACAAATCCCTGAATTATAATATGGCAGTTTCATTTATATTTATAGAATCTTCAAAATCTGAAGAGATGGCGCAGTAGTGGAAACAGTGGTGCCAACTGTTATGCCCCTGAAGGTGGAGCTGGGTACAGCTTTGGCGGCCAACAAAAGAGATCACTGGGTACAAGACGAGGTGTCATGAACAAGTTTGTACCTCCCACAAGACCCAACATGGAAGGGTGAGTTTATGAAATACACATTGCAACACAATGCCTCTCCAAAATTTTACTTTGGTAGAAGTGAAGGTTTAATTCTGTAAGTAAAGAAGTCTGCGCAAACACACACACACACTCACTAAGGATTGAACTCAGAACCCTCTGAGCAAGAGTCAGTGTCGGCTGTAAACCACCAGGCCCCTTATTGCTCATATTATTTATTTATTTATTTATTTACTTCATATCCATGGATCATTATACATGATATAGGACAAGTCAAATACTTTACAATACTTGTACAATAAATAAGAATAATAATAATGTAATAAATAATTACATTATTTTATATCTTAAGGAAGTCGATTTTCACAAGTGTTATTTATATCTTACATAAGTTGTTTGTATTTTCGTAAGTGTACAGTAGGCCTAACCTACAAGAAGTGTGTTATTTTATATCTTAGTAAGTTGATTTGTACTATTGCAAGTGTACCAGTGGGCCTAACCTAAAATAAGTGTATCATTGTATATAGTGGGCTTTAAAAGATTTGTGCCAGCATATACTCTTGTAAGTCCTAATCACAAATTAGACTCTTTAAATATATCTGTTAGTTAGTACTGAATTATAAGTTAACATAAGTGGTAATAATGTCCACAAGGGGTAACGACTTATCAGGTAAATGTGGGGCCTGCAGAAGGAAGGTTAGCCAGGGGACAGGATGTGAGGACTGTGGCCTGTGGTTTCATTGGGAGTGTTCTGGCACCAATAGTGATTTGGCCATATTACCTTGGTACTGCAACTCCTGTGTGCAAGCCAAGGTAATAAAGAAACAAGAGGAGACTATCTTGAGTTTGAAAAGGGAGCTGGAACTTGCAAGAACTGAGATTGACCTCTTAAAAGGGGAATTAAATTTAGTAGATAATTGTCCTGAAGAATTTAGGACTGTG